CTTCTCTTCACCAATCAGCTACAGCCATACTGGCCTTAAATTTTGCTCTTTGTCTCCCTGCAACTTTGCATCAGCTGTTTCTTTTGCTTAAATGAGCTTTTCTCTTTATTCATCTAGCTAGTTTCCTAGTCTTCATCGTTCAATTATGAAGTCACTGCTTCCATTAAGTCTTTCTGACTTCCATGCTTCGGTTAGAAGAATCCCTGGGCTCAGAGAGATAGAGAAGAGTAGCCAAACACTCGCCTTGCACGAAGACAATGGGGGTTTGATCCCTGTACCACATATGGTTCCCCTAGCCCTGCTGGGAAGTGATGCCTGAGCACAGGGCAAGGAGTAAGCTCTGAACATAGCTGGGTGTGGCCCCAAAACAAAATAAGAAAATAAGCATCCCCTGCATGTCCCCTGTACTGGCTACCCTCCAAAGAACCACACTCCCAGTTTCCACGCCCTCCCCTTGCACACGAAGGCTGGGTCAGCCCTGTGAATTGCTTTAGCCAGCAGAGCTTAGGAGCAGTGATACTCAGTGGATTGCAGACTCAAACTTTTAGAAGTGGCAGCTTCCTCTTTATTGTTTTTTTTTTTGGGGGGGGAGGGTCACACCCTGGAGTGCTGAAGGCTGATCCAGGTGGCCTGGAGGTGCTCTGGTGACTGCCCAATGCCAGGGAACCAACCAGGACCTTCCGCACGCCAAGACCCCATTGAGCTCTCTCTGGTTCCCTGCTCCTGTATTTTTATTTTTTAATTTTTTTTCTTTTTGGGTCATACTCAGCAATGCACAGGAGTCATTCCTGGTCTTTCACTCAGGAATCACTCCTGGCGGTGCTTGGGGGGACTATATGGGATGTTGGGAATTGAAGCTGGGTTGGCCGCATGCAAGGCAAACACCTTACCCACTGTACTATTGCTCCAGCCCCGCGCTTGTATTTTTAGTAACTCACAGCCACGGTTAAAGAAGTTCAGGGGCTGTGACAGTAAAGGGTGCTCGCCTTGTGTGTGGCTGACCGCAATTCTGATCCCTGACACCCCCATCAGGTCAGGTGTTGCCCACCCCCATTACCACCCCACCCCCCCCAGCCAAAACAAAAGTTCAGCTTCCCAGAAGTCACGAGGGCTGAGAGGCCCTGAGCCCACATGGAGAAAGGAGGAGCGGCAGGCTTGCAGACTTCCTGGGGTTCTAGGCCAGTTCTCAGATGATCTGAGCCTGCAGCTTCATGACAACCCAAGTGGCAGCAGCAGAAATGCCCAGTGGAGCCCAGTCAGTCCTGGAATTGTGAGGGATGACTGGAAGGTAGTTTTCAGCACTTGTGTTGCAAAAATAAAAGAGAAAGAAAGAAAGAGAAACAACATTTTGTAGTGTCCTTCTCAGTTGAGTTTGTTTTCTGGTTAGACTATTTTTCGCGTGAGGCTGGGGACCACATCCATTTAAAAACTGTTCTAGAGGGAGGCTGGAGAAGCCGCTAGTCTTTCAAGGTTCACACCTGGGTTCAATCGCTGGCACCACACATGGTTCCCTGAGTCATAGCTGAGCGCAGAACCAGGAGTAAGCCCTGAACACTGACAGAGGTAACTGGAACAAGTGAACAATGATTTTAGATGGGCCAGAGCAATAGACAGTGGATAGGATACTTGTGCAGCATCTGAGCAACCTGGGTTCAATCCCCAGGACCCCATATCATTCTGAATCCCGCCAAGAGAGAGCCCTGAGCACTGCCAGATATGGTTCAAAACCAAAACCAAACAACCAAACAACCCTGCCCAACCACAACTGTTTCAGATACTAGGGATATGGAGCTGGAGCAATATACAGTGGGTCAAGCATTTGCCGTGCACACGCCTGACCCAGGTACAATGCCCAGCATCTCATATGGTCCTCCGAGCACTTCCAAGAGTAATTCCTGAATGCAGAGCCAGGAGTAACCCCTGAGCACCCCTGGGTAAGGGTCCCAAACAAACACACAGACAAAAGATATTCAGGACATTATTTGGCACAAAATAAAGTCTTCTAGATTTGATAAACGGATGTCAAGAATGATGGCAGGGTCTGGATAGATAGTAGGTAGGGTGCTTGCCTTGCATGGGACTGATGATCCAGGTTTGCTCCCCTTATGGTCTCCAGAGCCCACCAGGAGTAATCCCTGAGCACAGAGCCAGAAGTAAGTAACCTCTGAGCACTGGTGGGTATGGCCCCCAAAACACAACAAAATACCATACATTAAACAAAATGATGGCAATGATGAACATCTAGAACATTCACTGTTGACACAATGACATCAACCCAAGGTGATCGCCTGGACATTTGCACAGCGGGTTGTAACTGTAATCATGTTGAGTTCATTTGACTTTGGGGTCCCACACCAACCAGGAGCAACGCTGGATACAGAAAATGGCCAAAGGTTTGGATCTGGAAGTTTAGGGAAGATAAAGCCAAGGCAAAAAAAAAAAAAAACTGGCATCCCTGATCTGTCCACTGTCCTGCTGCCCCCCCAACCCTCCCAGAATAAATGTCCTCAGGTTTCCGGGGATGAGAGTTTACGTATGGAAACAAGCACCTTTTCTTCCAAAAATTTTGATTGGTTTCAGAAAGCCCTCAATGTTTGCCTATGAAATAAATACATTGCCACTCAAATCAATAAAACTCATGGCTGGGGGTCTGGAGAGCTTGTCTGCAATTACACCAGCACGAGGTGTCCAGTTAAGTCAACAGCCATTGTCTGAACATCTTCTGTGGGCTGACAGCTTATGTCAAGGCCTATTTGGGACACCAAACGGGAAAATGCCATCTCTGCCCTGGGGGAGAGCACGGGGGAGACTAGACTTACACAAATAAGATAATTAAATGACAGGACAACATATAATTACTGCTAAATTGTGTGCTAAGAAATGAAGTGCCATAGGACTTAGAAAAAGCAGAGCTCAGGGAAGGGACTTTCGCTGAATGTGGCCTGGCCTTGGGGCAATGGAAATTGCAGAGGCGTAACAGAAGGGCAGAAATCTAGGAGGAGAAAGAGAGTAGAACCGGCAGACTTGTGATTTTATTCTGAGGTGGCAACATCAGGAATGTGAAAGATGCCTGCTCCAAATTCCAAAGTGAGTATATTCCTTTATTTATTTATTTATTGTTTTGCTTTTTGGGTCACACTTGGCAATGCACAAGGGTTACTCCTGGTTCTGCACTCAGGAATTACCCCTGGCGGTGCTCAGGTGACCATATGGGATGCTGGGAATCAAACCTGGGTCGGCCACGTGCAAGGAAAATGCCCTACCTGCTGTATTATCGCTCCAGCCCCCTTGTTTTGGTTTTTGGGCCACACCCAACGATGCTCAAGGAATAGTCCTGGTTCTGCCCACAGGAATTATTCCTGGTGGTTCTAGGGGGGACCCTATGGGATGCCAGGGATCAAACCCAGGTTGGCTGTGTGCAAGGCAAACGCCCCATTGTCACCTCTGCTCTGGCCCCCAAAGTGAGGATATCTCTGAGTAATTTCTCAAAATTCAAACCTTGGGGTTTATATTTTATTCCTTTGGTTGTCTTCCTCTCCTTTCCACCTGGCAAATTCCTATTTAAAGACCCAGTACAAAAGCATCTACTTTTTTCTGGATCCTTCTGTTGGAAGCTTATCAACTCAAGACTGCAGTGAAGAGCGACTCACATTTATTACCATGAGCCAGACCTACATGAAACATGTTAAATGTCAAATGTAATATCTTTGGGGGAGCGGTGCTCAGGCTTTACTCCTGGCTCTGAGCTCAGGGCCCATTCCTGGGGGGGCTCAGCAACCGGTGGGGCACTGAAGGTCAAACCTGGGGTAGCCCCATGCAAGGCAAGCACTGTACCTGCTGCTGTACTATCCCTCTGGACCCTGGATATGGTATTTGTATTTAAGCCTTTCCACAGAGGCATGAGAGATATTTTTTGTTTGTTTTATAGATGAAGGCCCCAGCTTAATTATGCTTCAGTTGGTTAAGTAAGCTGCCCCACAAACACAGCTACAAAAGAAAAAAAAAAAGCTGGATTCAAGCCTGGACTTGTGGAACCGAAGTCCACAAGGCTCTGGACTCTGGACCCCTGTCCCTGGAGGCCACAAGCCTCTTGTCTCCTCATATCCTAGATGATAACTGACACACAGCTCCAAAATTGTTTAACAAATGAATACAAGCGTCATACCACATGCCTGGGTCTTAAAGTAGGTACCTCCAGTACTCTGATGCAGTTAGGAGATTTCCAATCACCTAGAAGTTGCATTCTGGGGGAGGTAACAGTAATCTAAGCACCTTCCCACTACACGTGAGCCCCTTTATTTTTGTGGGTTCAAGTGTGAAGGAAGTTAAAGCATTCCTTTTCAACACGATGGCTGGGTTTGAAGATGAGGGCTCTGACCTATGTGTGCTTTGGGGGTGGGGGGAGCGAGGGAGTCTTTTTATTCATTTGAAAGCAGCAGTTCAAGTTTATCCAGACCAACAAGGAGGGCCCGGGCCAAGATCACGCGGGGGGCCGATCCCATCAGAGAGCGCAACGGAGGCGCCGACGGGACCGGGAGGTTAACGGTTTAGGCTCCAGAACCGACCTTTGGGGCAAGAGCCCAGCCTCGCCGCAGTTTGGCGCATTGTTTCCGTCTTCTGCCCCTTGGCCCCGCAGCCCGCAGACCCGAGCCAATGACGGCCCAGTGGGTCACTCAGGCTTTTTTCGACTTGTAGCATCCTCTCCCGCCCACCCGCCGCCAGCCCCGGGGAGTGGGGAAGACAGATCTCGGGGTGCCGAGTCCACTCGATCTGCAAATCCCCTTTGCCCCACCGCGGCCACTGCAAGCCCCGCTTCGCAGTGGTGCCGCTTCCCGGTGGCTCAGCTCCGCCTCCGCCTCCCTACGCCGGCGCGGAGGGCCGGGAAGGCTCCTGCAGGCGTGCGGGGCGCTCTGGCCGTGCCCTTGTGGCAGGCGTCCCGACTCGGGCCGAGGTGCCCACACCCCCACTTCCTCCAGCCGGGCGCCGTCCTTCCGCCCGGGCTCCCTCCTAATTGGCCGGCCCACAGCCGGGGACGCGGCCGCCCCAAGGGCGCCGCAGCGGCCGCTCTAGCCGCCGTGGCGCGCTCTCGGCTCGCTGCTTCACTCGCCACCTTCCAGCGCGGTTGGCGACGAAATGTGGCGCCTAAAGCGACTGCTGGGCCGAGGTAAGGGGCGTCGGAGCCATGCGTCCGAGGGAGGCTGAGATTCGCCTTTGGAAGGTGGTGGGGGGGGAAGAGATGGGGAAGCCCGCCAAGAGACAGAGGGCGGGGCTAGGGAGGGGAGGCGGGCTCTACGGGGCGGGCCACCCAATGAGGCGGGGCTTTAAGAGTGGGCGGGGCCGGCGAAGCGCGCTAGGGGAGGGGAGGCGAGCCCTAAGGGTTGGGCCACCCAATGGGGCGGGGCATACAGGGTGGGCGGGGCCGGCGGAGCGCGGCTCCGGGAGGGAAGGCGGGCCCTAAGGGGCGGGGACACCCAATAGGGCGGGGCGTCGAGAGTGGGTGGGGCCGGAGAAAGGGTGGAGTTTAGAGCCTAGGACTTGGGTGGCACTATCTGGAGCAAAGAGGCGGGAGATCTGAGAGATCCTTCTAGGCCAGTAGAGCTGGGAAGCCAGTGCAGTGAGGCTTCTTCCCTAGGGCAGCACCTGAATCACATGACCTGGTGCTTTTTCCAACTGTCGTTCTGCCTGAGTGATGTTTACCTAGAATCTGTGACTAGGTGCGGGAGAGATAGTACAGCGAGTAAGCTGACCCTTGCTGGATCCTCAACATCCCGTACGGTCCCCCGAGCCCTGCCAGGAGTAATCGCTGAACACAGAGCCAGGAGTAAGCCCTGAGCAGCACCGGGGGTGGCCCTCAAAACTGAAAAACAACCTCTTCCATCACAAGATGAAAGATTCCCACTTTTAAGAACAAGGACAGGAGTTATGACATCGTATATACTCCCCCCAGCACTGCCAGTAATAATCTCTAAGCATCATTGGGTATAGCCCCCAAACAAACAAATAAATATAAGAACCTTATAGAGGCAAACAGATATCAGTAATTCCTGGGTTCCTGGGTTGGGGCTCAATGCAGGATCAGCCGAAAATTGGTGGATCCCCATTGCCTCAGTCTGGTTCCCATCAAGATAAATGATCTTTTGTGCATGGGAATAGAAACTTTCTCAAAGAAGAAATCCGAATGCAAAAAGGCACATGAAAAAATGCTCTTCATCACCAATCGTTAGAGAGATCCAGATGAAAACAACGATGAGATATCATCTCACACCACAGAGACTGGCACACATCCAAAAGAACAAAAGCAACCAGTGTTGGCACGGATGTGGGGAGAAAGGGACTCCTTCGCTGCTGGTGGGAATGCCTTTTTGGAAAACAATATAGGCATTTCTCAAAAAACTAGAAATTGAGCTCCCATTTGACTCAGCAATACCACTTCTGGGAGTATATCCCAGAGATGCAAGAAAATACAGTAGAAATGACATCTGCACTTGTATGTTTATTACAGCACTATTCACAATAGACAGAATCTGGAAAAAACCTGAGTACCCGAGAACAGATGACTGGTTAAAGAAACTTTGGTATATCTACACAATGGAATACTATGCAGCTGTTAGAAAAGATGAAACCATGAAATTTGCATATAAGTGGATGGACATGGAGAGTATCACGCTAAGTGAAATGTATCAGAAGGAGAGGGGCAGACATAGAATGACGGCACTTATTTGTGGAATATAAAGTAACATAATAGGAGAATAACACCTCAGGATAGTAGAGATAAGGGTCAGGAGGATTGTTCCACGGCTTGAAAGCTGATCTCACATGTTGGGGGAAAAGGCAGGTGGGATGGAGAAGAGACCACTAAGTAAATGATGGTTGGAAGGATCACTCAGGATGGTAGATACGTGCTGAAAATAGACTGTGGACCAAACATGATGGCTGCTTAGTACCTATATTGCAAACTATAACACCCAAAAGGAGAGAGAGAGTAAGAGAGAATGTGTCTGCCACAGAAGCAGGGGGTGGGGGTGGGGTGGGGGTGGTGGGAGGATCACTGGAAACATTGGTGGTAGAGAATGGGCACTGGTGGAGGGAGGGTACTCGAACATTATTTGATTGAAACGTAATCACAAAAGCTTGTAAGTCTGTAACTATCTTAAAGTGATTTTATTAAAATAAAAAAAAGAAATAAAAAGGAGGAAAAAAAAGATAAATAATCTTTTTGTTCTACGTAGCTTTTCCCTGCCTGCTGAGACCCGGCTTCCGGTGTGTGACCCCCAAGTACCCTGGCCCAGATGGGCCTCAGGCTGCATCTTCTACCGTCCTGGTCCCTGTGCCCAGCTGTAACAAGTAAGAAATTATGTTCTGCCACTTCTCTCTTTCGTTGGCCTCCTTCATCTTCTATTTGACTTCTTTTTTATTGGAGGGTTGGAGGGGGCAGTGGTGGTAGTGTTGGCATTTGGTGCCATACCCAGCAGTACTCTGGGACTACTCCTGGCTCTCTATGCTCAGGGTTACTCCTGGTTCTACTTGTGGGACCACATAACTGGGGATTGAACTGGGGTGGGCTGCATATAAGACAAGTGCCTTTCCCCTGTTCTGTCTCTGGCCTGCACTGCTCACTTGGGACAGAACTTGATAACATTTGTTGCATCCTCTAGGTCTGGACCAGGCTCAGGTAGTAAAGGCCCAAGATTCCATGGATGGAAGGATGCTTTCCAAAGGAAGTCTGCCGGCATCTCCTCCAACACTCTGTGGGATGCTGTCTCTTGGGTAAGCCTTCTCCAGTTCTTCCCTGGACCTTCGGTGTGGGTGAGGATGACCCTGCATGACATTTTGAGCACTCAGGTATCATTGTGCCCTTACTTCAAACTTGACTAACCCATGGCACAGGAGCATATTATTCGGGGAGATATTTTTGTTCCTCTCCCCCTCTCTCCCACTGCCCCCCACGCCCCCCAAGTATTCCTTTTTAAATTTAGAAAACATTTAAGTTTCACCAAACTGGAAATTTTGCCAGGTGCTAGGATTGTAGCTGAAAACATGGTAGATATGCTTCTTGTCTTCATGGAGCTCATTCTGAAATCTGTCACATCTCTTGCCTGTCGTGTATTTTTTTGTTTGTTTGTTTTTTAAATTTTGTTCGCTTTTGTTTTAGGACCACACCTGGCAGTGCTCAGGGCTTAATTCTGCCTCTGTGCTCAAAAATCATTCTTGGTGCTGTTTGGGGAACCATATTGGGTGCTAGGGATTGAACCCGGCTTGGCTGTGTGCAAAACAAGCACCCTACCTACTATACTATTTCTATGGCCCACAATTGCATACTATTGCGGTGTTTTTTTGGGGGGCCACCCCCCACTGTTATGTTCAGGGAGTACTCATGGCTCTGTGCTTGGGGGTTGCTCCTCGGTGGTGCTGGGGCATCATTCAGTGCCAGGAGTCAAAGCTGGGCCTCTTGCATGCAAAGAGTGTGCTTAGCTCTTTGAACTCTCTCTTTGTCACCGGTTTTTCAATTTGAAGGCAAGATGGGAATTGGGCCACACCCAATTGTGTTCAGACTTACTCCTGGCAGTAATCAGGGACTGTATACAGTGCCAGGGATTGAACCCATGTCAGCCGCACACAGGGCAAATACATACCCGCTGTACTATCTCTCTGGTCCCCAGAGAAGGGGTTCTCTGTCACTTTCATGTTGTGAACTTTGGGCTCATAACTTGAGCCTCTTGTCACCTCTGTGACACTCAGTTGTCTCATTTTAAAATAGGTGAGACGAGGCTGGTTCAATCCTTGGCATCCCGGGTGGTCCCCTGAGCACTGCCAGGAGTAATTTCTGAGTGCAGAACTGGGGACAACCCCTGAGTGTAAACCAAAAATGAAATAAAATTTGAAAATTGGGTGCTAGTGCCTTTGCTGAGCCTCACCGTCTCATTGTCTCCACATCTCTGTGGGAAGTGTCTGTTCATCTGGCGAAGATCTGAACCCTTGGGTGGTGTCAGAGGAGCCCTTTGGGAAGCAGCCTGGGCCCCAGAGCCCTGAGATTGTCCCTCAGCCCTGTTACCACTGCCCTGGGCTGCCATGCTGGCTCCTTCTCTGCCTTCTCTCAGCTCACCCTCCAGCCAGGGGCTTTCTCTGGCTCCTCTTTTGTCAAACCTTTTATGGTCCCTTTTATGCACTGGGTAAACCGATTTATTTCCTTTTTGGCAGTTCGCACAATTAGCAGTCTGGTTTTTGTTTGGTTTGGTTCTGGTTTTGGCCACATTCGGCGGTGCTCAGGGCTTGCAAGACTGTTTTGAGTGGCGGACTGGCCTGTTTCTGTCTCGCTGGCCATTGTGCATGGTGCATGAGACTGTGAATCTGTCCTTGAGTGGCCTTGCTTAGAAGACACAGGGACAAGCAAGCCATAGGCTAGGAGCTGGCTGAGGTCGCCTATAGGGGGACCCCTTCAAATGCCCATGATGGTGGCCAGGTGGCTTGGTGGGGGATAGGGATGTACTAGGCTGGAGAAAGAGAGTGAGCCAGATGCTACAGTGTGACGAAGTCCTCCTAACCAAGACACATCCGCTTGCTTCGACTGTTAGTCACTTGCTCGTGCATTTATCCAGCATGCGTGTTTGTGTGTGTCTGTGTGTCTGTATGTGTGTGTCTTAGTGCTTATCTTAGTGCTCTGTTAAGTTCTTGAGGATGAGAAGAGAATTGGGGAGCAAAACAGAAGGGTTCCTGCCCCCCCTGGTGCTGATACAACCTAGTCCAAGAGGTATCACTATGGAGTGGGTGGGATCTGGGCTCCAGGGGAGAGTTGGGGTGTTCTGAATGTGTGGTGGTGGAGCTGCTCCCGGAAGTGGCCTGGAGCTGTGGCGGCGGGTGCAGCGGTGGATCCTGGGTCCTGTCCTCCACAGGGCACCCTGGCCGTGCTGGCCCTGCAGCTGGCGAGGCAGCTCCACTTCCGGGCATCTCTGTCAGAGGGACGTCAGCGAACCGAGCGTTGCTCTTGGCGCAGCCCCCTGGACCGCCTCCTCTCGTCTCCCTTGTGGCCTGTGTACTCCTGTGAGTTCTTCGCCCGTGGACAGGCGGGTGGGGTGGGGTGGGAGTTTCTGGGGGCCAGGAAGCCTCTGTGGACACACCTCAGGAAATGAGCCGTCAGCAGCTCGCTCCTTGCCTTTCCTATCGGAGGCAGAGGAAAGGGAGGATGAGGAAGCTCTGTCCACCCCAGGCGTGGCCACACCTGCCCCCCAGTGTCCTCCCATCACCCGGGGCAGCAGACTACTTTCAGTCTGGGTGTGGCTTCCTGACCCCTCAGCCTTAGGTCAGTCTCCGACCAACTGAACACTCCTTATTGATGAGCTACTATGTCCCAGGGCCCAGGTAGTCTAATAATGAAGGCTCTGATTAGGATTGTCAGGGTTCTAGTCACCAGAGACAATGCTGTTTGCTGGTCTCACGGCCCCCAGGAAAGTCCCTATTCACTTCCTGTACCTCTGTCTTTTCATCTGTCACTTGGAGTAATAATAAAACCCAGCCCATAGATTTTTCAGGAAGGCCAAGTTCACAGACGTCAAGGACAGTACCCAGTACTTCATAAGTGCTCATTAAGAATCTCAGTTATGGGGCTGGAGTGATAGCACAGCGGGTAGGTTGTTTGCCTTGCACATGGCCGACCGGAGTTCAATTCCCAGCATCCCGTATGGTCCCCCGAGTGTTGTCAGGTGTAATTCCTGAGTGCATGAGTTAGGAGTAACCCCTGTGCATCGCCGGTTGTGACTCAGAAAGAAAAAAGGAATCTCAGTTCTGGGTCTGGAGTGATGAAGTGATAGCACATCAGAAAGGGCACTTGTCTTATATTCAGCTGACCCGGGTTCGATTCTTCCACACCTCTTCGGAGAGCCTGGCAAGCTACCGAGAGTATCTCGCCCGCACAGCAAAGCCTGACAAGCTACCCGTGACGTATTTGATATGCCAAACACAGTAACAACAAGTCTCACAATGAAGGTGTTACTGGGCCCGCTGGAGCAAATCAATGAACAACGGGAGGACAGTGCAGTGCAGTGCAGTTTTGGGGCTGGAGTGATGGAGTGATAGCACATCAGGGAGGGCACTTGTCTTACACGCAGTTGACCTGGGTTCGATCCCTGGAATCCTTCATGGGCCCTTGAGCCCCTCCAGGAGTAGTTCCTGAGTGCAGTGCCAGGAGTAACCCCTGAACATCGCTGAGTGTGACCCCCAAACAAAAACAAAACCAAAGTCTCAGTTCTTGTCACTAATAGGGTTGACGTCATTATCAGTATTGCTACCTATGTCATTATCAGCACATCAGGACGGTGTGCTGAGGCCACAGTGGTCAGCTCAGATAGATGCCTTGGCACTGGAAGAATGCAGGCGGAGGAGTGATTGGTGCCCTGGGATGGGAGATCAGTATAGATGTGGTACCCTGGTACCTGATGGGGGAAGCCAGCAGATGAAAGGAATGGGGGAGAGGGGGTATCCTAGGAGTTTGTACTTTCTCCCCCAAATGTCAGGGAGCTATCACTCACTCTGACCCAGTCCCCTCTGACCTGCCCACTCTTGCTGGCTCTTTGCAGCCCTGCGGAATCACATTCTTCCTGGCCCCGATGGATCTGCACCCCAACACCCTGTCCGGAGGGACGCTGGACTGAGTGGGGGTGAGCCACCCACCCGCTCCCAGAGCCCCTCTTCACGCAGCTCCTTGCATGCAGCAGTGTGCCAGGAGCCCTCGGAGGAAGGTATGAACCCTCAGGCCAGTGAAGCTGGGGTAGTGGGAGCAGTTGGGATATTTGTTGCCGCATAAGCCAAGTTGCATGGTCATTCCCAGGAGGCCCCATGCTTTGGGGGGTGATTCAGAATTATTTGGGTTCCTGGGCCAGAATGGAAGTACAGTGTACCCACTTGTTGCCTTCTGTGTGGCTGACCCAGGTTTCATCCCCTGCATCCCATATGGTGCCTTGAACACCGCCAGGAATAACTCCTGAGCACAGAGCCAGGAGTAAGCCCTGGGCACAGTTGAGTGTGGCCCCCAAACAAAAGATAACAAAAAGAATGATTTGGCTTCCTGGCAATGTTGCTGGATGGTGGGGCAGGTAGAGTAGGGGAAATGGAACAATAACCCCTTATCCTTTGCCTGGCTGGATATCAGCCATTTTCCTATCAGCAGGCCTCGGTGACACCCACTTCTTGAATACCAACAGCAACTCTGAGTGCCAGGTAGAACCAGACGAGCTTCTGCCCAGTGGCGAAAAGCAGGTACTGTCCACATTTGAGCAGCCCAATCCTGGGGACACCCCTCTGGGCTGGCATAACCATCTCACGGTGAGCCTTGGTATTCCCAGGAGCAAGACGGATCCGTCTCCCTTTCCCTGGAGGAGGCTGTGATTTCCATTCAGCGGCTCTTCCAGCTCAGCGTTTCCATCATGTTCAACTTCCTGGGTAACTGGCAGGTGGAGGTAGGGGTGAATGGAGAGTGTCTGGTTAGGCCAACCAAGTCAGGGGGCGCTTCTACAGTCATCTGCTTTCTCTCAGGTGGAAGGCTGAATCTGGCAGGGAGGCCCCTAGGTGCCAAGGACCCACATGTGTCCAGATCTGTCCACCTGTCCTGCCATTCTTAGAACCGGCTCCATCTCAAGGTCTGGTTAGCCTGTTCCGGCTCCACCTTCCCATCCCTACTCTGGCCAGCTGCCAGGGGAAGGAGGGAAGGCCCAAGGACCAGGACTTCCCTTAGGACCTGACCTACGGACTTTACTAATTGCTGTTGGGACTGGAAGGAAACAAAGGGCCATAAGTGCAGAGGAGGCTGGGAAATGTAGTCTTTGGTTAAACCCAGGGACTTGACCTGTAAATTCTGAGAATATGAATTCTAGCAATCAATCAGAGGACACTTAACATCCTCTGCTACACCCCTAGGAAAGCACAACACTTTTTTTTTCTTTTTGGATCACACCCAGCAATGCACAGGGGTTACTCCTCACTCATGCACTCAGGAATTACTCCTCGCAGTGCTCGGGGAACCATATGGGATGTTGGGAATCGAACGCAGGTCGGCCATGTGCAAGGCAAACGCCCTACCCGCTGTAATATCATTCCAGCCCCAATCTCTCTCTCTCTTTTTTTTTTCACAAGCGCGACGCTCTTGAGGTTTAGGGGAGACTCTCTGGGCACAGATAGGTACCTCTCACTCCAGATGCATGTCCCACCATTTGTCCCAGTCTCTGCGGTGATTGGGCTTAAATTTTAGGCCTTCTACTATGAGACCCAGGCTCCCAGCTATGTCTCCTAGAGTCTAGTGATAAGCTAGTGAGTGGTTGGAATTGATCCAGGACAATTTTTTTGTTTTGTTTTGGGGACACACTCAGCAATGCTCAGGGCTTACTCTTAGCTCTATACTCAGGATGGTGCTTGAGGGACCCTAAAGGATGCCAGAGATGGAACCCAGGTCAGCCGCATACAAGGCAAGCTCCCTCCCCGCTGTACAATCTCTCCGGCCCCCACAACAAACTTGTTGACCTTGATCCGGGACTTACTTTTCAGGCTGGGGATACAAAGATTCATAAAAAAACAAGAACAACAACAAAAAAAACCCCTCCCTTTCCTCTAGAAGTTCACATGTGAGTTGGACAGAAAAACACTAATTTGACAAACAAATGAAAGTGAGGATTTGTAATGGTGCTAAATGTTAGGGAAACAGTTAAATGAGTTCACGCGTACATGACGTGACCAAGGAGTAAAATTTGCCTCCTTCACCGATGGGAAGAGATTTGAGCTAAGACAAAATAAGCTCACATTTACCAAAAATAAGCCAGTTTTGTTTCCATGTGGAGAAAGCGTTCCAAGCAAGGACTGAGGTCCTGAGACAGGATCGAGCTTTGCTGTGAACTTGATGGAGGGCAGCCGGGAAGATGGCTCACGTGGGCAAAGAGGCTGAGCGTGCATGAGGCTCCGAGTTGGACCTCTAGCCCACAGGCGTCCCTGGGAGTGACCTCTTCCCTGTATCCCACCCTATCTCCCACTGCCCCAGTACTACCAGGAGTGACTTCTATGAGAAAAAAAAAAAGAAGAAATGAAAGAAAAGTGAGTGTAGTTAGAACTTGTTGATTAGCAGCAGAGAGGCGAGGAAGTCAGAGAAACAGGCCTTGTGGGGTGTGGGAGGACTCTGAGCCAGACCAGAGGATTCAAGTCAAGAAACCCTTTGGAGGGGCTGGAGCCATAGTACAGCAGGGAGGGCGTTTGCCTTGCACCTGGCCAATCTGGGTTCGATCCCCGGCATCCAGTCAGGTCCCCCGAGCCCTGCCAGGAGTCATTCCTGAGTGCAGAGCTCGGAGTGACCCCTGAGCACCAGCTGCAGCAGGAAGAGGGACAGTCACTTCCTTGATTGGATCTACTTTACCAAAGAACTCTCTGGCTATTGTGTAGACAGGTGTGGGTTGGCGGGAGAGCAGAGGGAGCACTGCTGAGGAGCCCAGGTCGTGGGGGGCCCGGCTGGGGCTAGTGGTGAAGGAGAAGACAAGGGTCTGTTGATGGGGCAGAGCAGGGACAGGGAGAGGAAGTGGATGCTGTCCTTCAAGGGTCCTCTCAAGGACAGCAGCTCTGTCTACCCTGGACAGCGAGGGACGCAGCTCTCATTCACTGCTGCCTCAATGGCACCTGGCTCTGACCTCATTTGCATTTTGTGATTTTAATGGGCAGCCTGTCGCTTCGGAGAGTTTCCTGGGCCCTTCCTTCATTCATATATTCATTTATTCAGCAAGTGCTGAGCCATGGCGGAACACAAAGGGAGCATAAGCCATCATCACATTTTGCATTTGTATAGAGCCTTCACCCTCTGCAAAGTTATTTCTTCCACATTCTTTTTCTGCTGCTGCCACCAGGATTTTTGTAGTCCAGGCGACAGAGCTTGTGCTCTTTCTTTTTTTTTTTTTTTTTTTGCTTGTGCTCTTGAAGCGTTTTAGTTAGGACCAAAAAATAAAAACGCTGGTTTTTACAGCACGTGCCAAAAAGGTGCTGAAAGACCCAGTGTGGTCTGAAGGTTCAAGAGCAGAAACAGGATGCGGAGGTCTGGTGGTAAAGGCAGAAAAAGAGTTTTTTTCCCTGGGGCAGGAGAAAGCCCCGGAGTAGCTGGGGCTGAGAATCGGCTGCGCCAGCGCCTTCCCGGTTTCTCATTGTGTTTGGGTGATAAAAAAAGAACACAGGCTTTAGAATTGGATGGGGCTGATTTCGGGGCTTGGCTCTTGTGTATTCTCTCACAGTTTCCTCAGAAAGCCAGATTAAATGGCTTCCTCTATATCCGTGAGGTTTTGTTGGTCTCAAACACCAAAGGCATCATCTGGGATCTATCCACCTGCCAAGGACCCGGATCAGGAAAGCGCCAGAGATACAGGATGGGCGGAGGGCCAGTAACTCTTACCCACAGAAGCTGCGGAGAGAGTCAGGGCAGTACATTGATTGATAGCGGGGGTGGGGCTAGTTCCCCAGAGGAAGTCAGGGATGTGAATAGCCAGAGGACCAAACCCACTAATGTCTGGGTAAACCAGATCTGCAAAGGGTCTAGCAGCAAAAGAAGGAGGCACTGGTGGTACCTGGCTGAGGATGCGGGGCGGGTCAGCAGAGGGGGTGAGTGGGGGAAATTCCCTGCTTTCTTCCAGGGACAGAGAGCATGAAGAGAGGGGACGCGGCAGTGGCCTTCTCTTACTTCCAGAAAGCAGCAGACCGGGGCTACAGCAAAGCCCAGTACAATGTGGGCCTGTGTCACGAGCACGGCAGAGGGACCCCCCGGGACCTCGGCAAGGTTCTGTACCTCTCCCTGCCCCAGACCCAACTTGGGGGGGCTGCCCAGAGTGACCTCCAGAAAGGGACAGAGAGAAGGGCTTGGGGAACATCTGGCTTCTCTTTTCCTGTCATGGCGGGGGGGGGGGGGAATTAGGAGGAATCCCCTGAATCCTAGTGGGCAGGAGGCTCCGGGTTCTAGTTGAGCTTGTTCACACAAAATCGATAGTTTTTAAATTTTTTTATTTTATTTTTTTCTTTTTGGGTCACATCCGGCGGTGTATAGGGGTTACTCCTGGCTCATGCACTCAGGAATTGTGCATTAGAGGTGCTTGGGAGACCATATGGGATGCTGGGAATTGAACCTGGTTGGTGGCATGCAAGGCAAATGCCCTACTGCTGTGCTATCGCTCCAGCCTGCCTCAGTTTTTTAAATTTTTAATTGGAGAGGTGGGAGGGTGCGGTTTGCACTTGGAGATGCTCAGGGGTTACTCCCACCTCAGTACTTTGGGGCTCCTCCCTGGTGCACTCCCATCAGTGCTGGTGGCTGTGGGTGCTGGGGATTGCACTGCTGCTCTCCCCAGAAAAGCAAATGCTCCAGCCTTTGGCACTCCCTCCCCAGCCCCTGTATACTGCAGTCTTTTTATTTTTATTTATTTTTTAATCAATTTTTGTTTTGTTTTGATTTTGGCTATACCCGGTGGTGCTCAGGGCCTATTCTATTTTTTTTTTTGTGCTCTTCAGGTCACACCCAGCCGATGCTCAGGGGTTACTCCTGGCTCTGCACTCAGGAATCACTCCTGGTGGTGCTTGGGGGACCATATGGGATGCTGGGAATCAAACCCGGGTTGGCCGCATGCAAGGCAAACACCTACCCGCTGTGCTATTGCTCCAGCCCCTCAGGGCCTACTCTTAACCCTGTATTCAGGGATCATTCCTGAAGGACTTGGGGAACTATATAGGGTGTTGGTAATGGAACCTGGGTCCTCTGTGTGCAAGGCAAACGCCCTCCCCGCTGTACTATCCCTCTGGCCCTGCATACTACATTCTTTTTTTTTTTTTAGCTTTTTGGGTCACACCTGGCGATGCACAGGGGTTCCTCCTGGCTCTGCACTCAGGAGTTACTCCTGGCATTGCTCGGGGGACCATATGGGATGCCGGGAATCGAACCTGGGTCAGACATGTGCAAGGAAAACTCCCTACCCGCTGTACTATCGCTCCAGCCCCTGAACACTACAGTCTTAACAGAATAGTGTTTAAGAGGTAGCGTAGCTGGGGATCTGGGGTTTCTATTTTGGGGTTATCTGTATTTTAATTTTATTAGCCTATTTCTGTTTCCCTACTAATCAATACCGATTAGGCATTATATCAAGGTAATTTTTAAGAAGGTCGCTCAAATGAAAAGCTGGTGCTCAGCATTCCCAGCTGATGGGTTTCTCACTCTGCCACAGGCGGTCCTGTTTTACCGACTGGCTGCCAACCAGGGCCACAGGCTGGCGCAGTACCGCTGTGCCCGGTGCCTGCTGCAGGAGGCCTCGCTGCAGGACCCTGAGTGCCAGGGTGCCCTGTCCCTGCTCCAGCAGGCGGCCGACTCAGGCTTGACGGAGGTGCGTGACGCAGTGGGTGCCCTGGGTGGTGGGCTCCCCAGAGCCAGGCAGTGACCCCTTGCGCCTTCCTGTCCCTCCTCCCTGCCCACAGGCCCAAGCTTTCCTCGGGGTGCTGTTCACCAAGGAGCCACACCTGGATGCGCGGAGAGCCGTGGACTACCTGTGGCTTGCAGCGAGCAATGGGGTATGAGGCATCGGTGGCGTCGGTGTACAGGGGCGTCTGATAAGAGTCACTGTGCTAGAGAGCAGGGCGGTGTCAGCCACTTCCTGCAGGACCCTGGGCACGTCCCACGGGCCTGGCCGGCTCCCCCAGCCCCACTGAGAGCTGTTGGCAGCCTCCCATCCACTCTGGGAGGAGGGTCTGGGCTACGCAAATCACCAAAGAGGGGCAAGACAGTTGTTAGACACGCAACAGCCCACTCCCGGGCCAATCCCTTAGGTTTCCTTTGTCACTAACCCCAGGACAAAGGTGCCTGCCTCACCCTGTGTCAGTCTCAGGGTGGTGGTGAGGACCGTGATCTGATTGAGGGAAGAGCTGTGAATGTTTTTGTTTTGTTGGTGTGGGGGCCACCCCTGACAGTGCTCAGAGGTCACTCCTGGCAGTGTTTGGGGGACCAGAGCCAGTGCCAGAGATCACCGTGACCCAGTGTCAGCTGCATGCAGAACAAGTGCCTTACCCTGGTCCTATCTTTCTGGCCTCCCAAAATGCTTTTCGGTGAGCTGGGAAGCTCGTTTGAAGCACCTGGGAAGCACAGGGTCCTGGTTCCGAGCAGGCTGTAGCCCTAAATCTGTCATCTCCGTTACTTAAATGCTGACCTGCCTGTTATGGAAACTCTACAGAATTTCTGGATCGTAGGAGAGAAATGGAACCATGATTGAAATGAACAGTGTTTTGTTATTTTTAGTTGGGAAAGATTGAATATGATGCAAATATTCCAATAGAGAGGGAAAGATTAATGATTCAGGTAAATAAAGGGGGAGAAAGAGCCCAAGAAATAGCTCAACGGACTGGTGTGCATTCTCATGTGTGCTCGACCTCCAGGTCGATCCCTGGCACCACGTAGCCCCCTAAGTACCATCAGGGGTGACCTTGGTGACCCCAGAATCACTTGGATCAGACAAGTCAGGTGGGAGAGTGGCCCTGGGGTTCCCTGAAATACTCCTGGGGAGAGCCCTTACCAAAATATACACAGAATAATTAATAAACAAGAATGGGGGGGGCACAGTAAGCTAGTACAGAGGGTAAATGCTTTTCTCGATCCCTGCTATCACATATGGTTTCCCAAGTACTGCCAGGTCTGAGCCCTGAGCACTGAGCCAGGAGTAAGCCCTGAGTGTAGCCAGTTGTAACCCAAAAGCCCCCAAAAAAAAGGGTGGGTCGGGGGGAGAGGAATGAAAGTAGTAATACCAATCTCAGCTCTTTATTAATTTTTAAAATTTTGGCTTTTGGGGCCACACTTGGCAGTGGTCAGAGCTTACTCCTGGCTCCATACTTAGAATGACTCCTGGCAGTGGTTGGGGCCCATATGGGATGCCGGGGATTGAACCCGGGTCAGCTGCATGCAGACCAAACGCCCTACCTATTGTGCTATTGCTCCGGCCCCTCTCAGCTCTTTAATGCTTACAGTTGTATAATGAGGTGGGTTCGTTATTCTCACGTCAGAGGAGACAGAGCAGAGGCAGAGGCGGAGAATAACATGCCAGGGTTATTACGCGGCGGCTCAGTGACGGAGCCAAGACTGGACCCGGGTGCCCTGGTGGTAGGGATGGCGCCTCTCACCCCTGCCTGCTGCTGTACCCAGCACTTGCAGAGGATTAGCCCTTTTTTTAAAAAAAAAATTATTTATTTATTTAGAGGATTAGCCCTTGAGTCTTTCAAATGGGAGAACCGACTCTGATATCTGCCTTGCAGCCCTCTTCCTGGGTCCTGGGCGGCATGGGGGTCCTGGGGAGGCCTCAGCTCTGCCTGGCTCCACCCTTTGGGGTGACCCCCAGCTTCCCAAGCTGGCCCTTCTGCGTGCTTTGTGCACAAGCCTCAGCTTGAGATGCTCCCGCTGGGCTTTGGCTGGGTTCTCCCAGGCAGGCTCCTCATCACCCTGGTGTCATGTGAACTCTGATAACCCTCCAGCTCTTCCGAGTTCAAGTCCTCCGCAACAGGGAGGCTCGGGCTGGCCTTGACCCCGAGTGGGTGCTGCCCATCTGCCCCCTCCACGCCCCTTGCCTCTGCCCTGCATCCGGACCTGTGTCTGCCCTCTTCCCTGTAGGACGCCCAGAGCAGGTACCACTTGGGGATTTGCTATGAGAAGGGCCTTGGCGTGCCACGGAGCCTGGGAGAAGCCATTCGCACGTACCAGCAGGCAGCTGCCCTGGGACACGAGCCCGCCCAGAAGAGGCTGAGGACACTCTTTTCCACGGAGGCAGCAGGTACAGACATGCGTCAGAGCCACGCCTTCTCCCCAGAGCTCACCCCCTTCCTGGCATTGGAGAGGCAAGCCTCAGTGGCCTCGGCAAGTCCCACAAACGAACTTTTTTTTGTTCTGTTTTGTTTGGGGGCCACACCTGGCTGTGCTCAGAGATCACTCCTGGTGGGGCTCAGGAGACCATTTTTGGTGTCTGGGATCGAACCTGGGTTGGGCACTTGCAAGGCAAGTGTCCTACATACTGTACTTTCTCTCCAACCTCTCAGCCTGTGTTTTAATCCCCATTCTATCACGCAATGTGGATTTGTGCCTTTGAACCTTTTTTCTTCCCCTCTGAGGAGGAGACGCCCCCACGTTGGGCTGGAAGGGCTGAAGGGCTAAAGAGCTCCATCCGCCGGCACGAAGGAGGCTTTGCACTAAGTGCTAACTGCTCCGGTGACTTTTCAACCGACATGGCCTCAGTGGCTGACACTCCCTCTGGGTCCTGGACGGCCCACTCATGCTGAGGTTGGCTGTGTCCACAGGACCCAAATCCTCAAGCCCTGCCTCTGGTGCCAGACCCGAGTAAGAGGGTGTCTCTTGTCCACACAGCTCCCGGGGCCAGTGGGCCGATGGTCACGGGACCCAAGTCGTTTTCCAGCCCGTCACTCTGCAGCCTAAGCAGCCTGCTGGCCGGGGCTGCCCGCCTCCCGCACGCCGCCAGCACTGGGAACCTGGGACTCCCGTGTAGAAGTGGACCTCTGGGCTCCAGCCCCTGTGGGCCCAGCCGAGCGCTGCCCACCCACCCCTGCTCCTTGGAAAGTGCCCTCGTCAGGCTGGGTTTTGGCTAAGGTGAGCTCAGAGGCCTGTTCTGGTTACTCTCCCGGGGGTGGGTGGCTGGCTGGCTGGCTGGGTGTGGGGCGTATCAGAAAGAGGGTGTCGGGGTGGAATTTGCAGTGGGGGCCCCCGCTTCTCAAGCGATTTCACCTGAGTGGCTCATGAATGGCTCTGGCATCCTGCGGTGGCGTCTTTCAGGCGTGGGGTAGACATTCAGGCGTTTCTACCCCCACACAAAGGATTCGTTTAGTGGCCTGGTAAATACGCTACGGAAGGGCAGAAGAGATATACAGCAGGTAGGGTGCTTGCCTTGCACACCGCAGACCCGGGTTCAATTCCCAGTACCCCCTATGGTCCCCCAAGCACCACCAGGAATGATCCCTGAGTTCGGAGTAAGCTGTGCCCCAAAAGCCAAAAGGAAGGAATGTTATTGTATCCAGGGGTGGCTAGACCCGATCCAGAGAAGTTCTACAAATGAGGAGTGGGTTTCTGAGATCAAAGAGGGGCTTCTGGGGCTCAGGCTTATGCAGGGTGTGCCCGGAAATGGAAAGGTTTCCCCCCCGCCCCCAGCTCCAGCTTCTGTTCTGTGCTCATCAGCATCAGTTCCGCTTCACTAGTTATTTGGGGGCCTCAAACAGCAGTGCTCAGGGCTTCCGGGTGCAGTGCTAGGGATGGAGCCGAGTCTGCCATGGCAAGACAAGTACCTTCCCCATTGTACCATTGTACTATTTTCCTGCACCTCCCCGTTTCACTTCTTTGTTGTTTCACACCCTGCAGTGCTCAGTGCTTATTCCTGATTTTGCATTCAGACATCACACCTGGTAGTGCTTGGGGACCTTATGGGGTGCCAGGGGTCAAACCCAGGTTGGCCACATTGTGCAAGGCAGACGCCCACTCCCCCACCCCCCTTCCTGTCTTTTTTTTTTCTTTCTGGATCATATCTGGTGATGCACAGGGGTTACTCCTGACTTAGTACTCAGGAATTACTCCTGAGGATGGAGCCTGGCTCTCTCTGCCCACCCTGGCGGTACTCAGGGGACTATATGGGATGCTGGGAATCGAACCCGGGTCAGCTGCATGCAAGGCAAACGTCCTACCCTCTGTGCTATCGCTCCAACCCCCCTGCCTCCCGCCTTGCTGTCTTATCACTGCAGCCCCTCCAGTTCCCTTCTGGTCTGGGGGAGGTTTCTTGCATCAAAGCCTGAAGTATCTGCTTCCCCTTTTCAGACCTTCTCACTTCAGCCCTAAAGAGTGAGTCTGTGGGTCAGCGTAGAAGAGGCCAGTGACCCACCCACCATCCCCAAACACCCGAAGCACCTGCCCAGCACAGTCGGGAAGAGGCCAGCGTGCCAGGCCCCGGGGCCTGGAACAGTGACGAGACTCCTGGCCTTGATCCCCTGTTGCAGACCCACATCCTGCGGGCAGCAGAGGGGGTGCTGAAAGAACCTCGGCGCTTCCGTGGCCCCCGGAGACGGAGTGATACCCCCAGTTCTGGGGCCTTCTGAGTGACCAGGCCAGGAGGAGCTTCTAGACTCCTGCTCTCCTGCCCCGGTTCATGCTGTCACTTGCCCCCAGAAAGGGTGATTATGGTCCTGCAGAGGACTGGGAGTGGGCGGAGGGAAGCAGTGGGTTTCTGGGAGCAGGAGAGGAGGTGCTGTGATCCTCGCCGTGCAGGGTGTGCCAGGAACGCATGCGAGTTGAATAAAACTCTATTGGATTAGCTCATCGCTCTTGCCCTTGAGTGTATCGGAGAGAGCCAGGGAGGTGGGCAGGGAGAGCCAGGCTCCATCCTCATCTCCAAACTCTCCATTAACCAATTTAAAGGGTCTTAAAAGCTTCTCCAAGAGAGAGAGAGACTTAGAAGAAAAAAAAAACATTTCCAAGTCAACGCTAATGACTTCAATTACTGAATTTGTGACTAGCTGTTCCCTGGCGTCTGGAGGTTCGCCCAAGTTCAGTAGCATAGACGTGCCGGGGGGTGGGAGGCTGGCTTGGATGGGAAGGGTCACGGGACTGTGCGGGTGGGGTGCGGGAGCTGTTTCCTTTTCCCTCTCGGCTGTCCGACCCCTTCTCCCCCTTCCTCCTCCCCATCCTCTTCGGCAGGGGCTGGGATGCCCCAAGCTTTATCCTATCCCCCTACCCCCTCTGTGTCCTGCCCCCCAGGGCGCCCCTCATGTGGGTGCCTCCCACAGACACCTCAGCACCTCACCTTATTTGTGTGTTAGGACAGATCCCCATCAGCTACCGTCTCAATCCACGCATTGGTGGGTGCGCAGGTTTTAAAGCTATACCAGGCATAATCTCTCTCCAAAAAAAGAAAAGAAAAATTTCTGTGGTTAAATAAGTTTGGGAAACGCTGCACTAGACATCCCTTTTTATAGATTCACATCAGCGTATTCAGGCTTCCAAGAAGTCGGCCATGAAGTGCTGGGTTAACCCAACGCTGTCCTTGCTGAGGCTATGGGGTCCCGCTCGCAAGCTTTGCCCAGCCTGGGTGCTTCTTACCCTCCTTTCCTGTCCACCTGCTGCATAGGCATCTGGGACGGTGGCCCCTGACTCTGCCTGGGGCTGAGGGTCATTGCAGATAGTCCAGCATCACGGTGTCCCGGAGCGCTGGCCTCTCGTGCTGTCCCTCAGCCTCAGTTGCTTCAAGTTACTTGTGTACTTGGGGCTGGGGTTTGACTCAACACACATGAGACCTGGTTTCAATCTCCAGCACCACACACACACACGAAATACTGATTCGGTTTGGGGTACTAAAGGTGTAAGTGATTGGTTTGGGGTTTTTTGGTCCCCATCTGGCTGTGCTCTGGGATGATGCCACCATGGTATTTGGGCTGTCATGTGTGGGGGTCCCAGAGTTTGCAGAGCAAATCACGTGCCCAGCGTTTTGAGCTATCTCCTTAGCCCCTGAAGGTGGGGACATCGGGCTTGGGGTGTTTGTTTGGGCCACACCCAGCGATGCTCTGGGTTTACTCCTGGCTCTGCACTCTGGGATCTCTCCTGGAGGGGGTTGGGAGGCTTTATGAGGTGCTGGAAATTGAACTTGGGTTGGCCATGTGCAAGGCAAGTGCCCCACCCACTATACTATCCAGCACCAGAGGTGAGTATTTGTTTGTTTGTTTGTTTGTTTGTTTATTTATTGGGGGGGTAACACCCAACTTGCTTAGGGCTTACTCTTGGCTCTGCATTCGGGGATCACTCCTGGCAGACTTGGGAACCGTATGGGGTGCTAGAGATTGAGCATGGGTCAGCTGTGTGCAAGGCACACAGATACCCACTGGACTATTGCTCCAGCCCTGTAGGAGGGTATTTTCAAACTGTCCTGTGGAGAAGGAAATGAGGAAGAGTCCTAAGAAAGATGTTATCTGGGGATGTGGCCTCCTTGGCTGTTGGTCATTGTGATCTCCTAGGATCCCACAAGTTAAGCTTCATAGAGGACCCCTTAACTGCTATGCATTGGTTCTGAAAGCTCTCAAATGACTCATCATCATCTTCTATCTGAAAGGAAGTGGGAGGAGGGAGTAAGGAGGTGACCAGTCAGGCAGCCTGGATCAGGATAGCTGGTCATTCAAGATTGGGGGTGGGGAGTGTTTAGTATAGATGTTGGTGCTTTGCTGTCTTGGTTTCCTAATTTGGAGGCTATATTCAGTAGGCCTGGATGCTACAGATGGGAGGAGCAAGGCTGTCTGGTTCCTGATGCGTGTTCGGTGCCCGTAAAATGCAGGAAACTTGATAGCTGTTCAGTCAATATCCCTTCCATCAATGAGTGATTCTCTGCATCACTCCTCTCAACTCAAAGCCTGGCACCCAGCGCACCCAGCATATAGTGGGTGCTCTAAAGCTATGCTCATTGGGGCCCAGAGAGATAGTCCAGTGGATAAGGTAAGTGCGATGAGCCCTGGCTTAAATCCCTATGGCATCTGGTTCCCTGAGCACCGCCAAGGGTCATTCCTGAGCACAGAGCCAGGAATAACCCCTGAGCACTTCCCTACAAAATAATTTGCTGTCTGAATGAATGACTGATTCTGCCTGCCTCTCCCCTTCCTGCTGCTCCCAGTGCTACTCTGGCGAGGCGGGCAAAGTTGAAGGCTGAGTTAATGTCTCATGCGTCCCCTCTGCCCTCTTCCCGGGGCCTCCCAGGGGCTGGGAAACGCTGCCCTATTTTCCCCGTACCTAATGTGTGGCAGAGCTGAGCTGATCCATCTCCTCCTGGCTCTCTCTGTCCCCTCCTCTTTGGCAGGGAGTGCTTGCCCTAGTCCCTAGGGTAGCGGCTGTGGGTGGGCTCACAGAGTGGAGGGAGGCTCAGCAAGCAGCCAGGTTGGGGTTGGGGTCAGATAGGGAGTGGCCCTGGGCTGGAGTGGGCACAGCCAGGCATGCCTAGAGCTGGACAGCAGTTGATTATTATTACTACTACTAGCAGGTAGGGCGTTTGTCTTGCACGTGACCGACCTAGGTTCGATTCCTCCACCCCTCTTGGAGAATCCGACATGCTACTGAGAGTATTCCACCGGCACGGCAAAGCCTGGCAAGCTCCCCGTGACATATTCGATATGCCAAAAACAGTAACAACAAGTCTCACAATGGAGATGTTACTGGTGCCCGCTCAAGCAAATCGATGACAACCGAAGGACAGTGCTACAGTGCTACTTTATTATTATCATCATTATTTTAGGCCACGCCCTGCAGTGCTTGGGGCTTACTCCTGGCTCTTCCTTAAGGAATCACTCCTGGGGGTTAAGGGGACCCTATGGGAAGCCGGGCATCCAACCCAGGTAGGCCCCGTGCAAGGCAAAGGCCCTCCCCACTGTACTATTGCTCTGATTATTAATAAATACGGTGAACAGAAGAGAAGTCCCCCTGCGGTTTCCAAATGAAGATGATCTTTTACCGAGTGCTGCATGGCTCGCCTGCTTATTTCGTCGCTGCAGCACAGAGCCCATCTCGGGGGAAAGCTGTTTTGAGTATGTCCAAAGTCTCAGCTTTGACATCTTGGCAAGTGTCATGAAGTTTCTGTCATGTTCCTGTTCGGCACACGCAGTTCTGTCACCATCTCCACAGTCTCCGGCTGTTCCTGGGGACGGGGCTGGCTTCACGCACCAGAGGGTGCGGGTCCCTGCGCCCCAACCCCATCGAAGTACTGGCGAGGCCCTTTCTTTCCTGGAAGTCCAAGACTCAGCGAGCGTCTGAGTGTCTGAGGCTCTCTGAGGTGCCTCCTCCCACCCCCCCTCCACACCCCCGGGCTTTTGGCTTAGGGAGTCCATAGTTCCCAGAGCCCCTTCAGGGACACTGGAACCACCACAAGGAGCCTCGTCATCGTCATCGTCGTCAGCCCCGCGTCCTCCAGATCTGCGATCTGCCACCTGGCTCTGGGCAAACCGTCAGCTTTTTCTGGCTTGCCATTTGCTTCCCTCTAAGATGTTCTGACTCCTTCTGTCCCGAACTTCCGGGGCGCGTGAGACGGTGACTCAGAGCCGGGCTGCAGAGCCTTGCACGGGTCACGTGCTCCTCTGAGACTCCCCAGAGAACTTTGTATTCCCAACCCTGTAAAATGCCCCTGTGGCAGATTCTGCCTCGTCCTTGTGGCAAGGACCAGAGATGTAGGACTTGAGGTTTGGTGGTTTTTTCTGTTTTTGTTTTTTTGGGGGGGGATTGCATTGGGTGTGCAACCCCCCCCCCAAAAAAAAAAGTACTCAGCACTTACTCCTGGCTCTGTGCTCAGGGCCACTCTGGTGGTGCCCGGGGAACCAGATGGGGTACTGGGGATTTGAACTGGGGTTAGCCGGATGCAAGGCCAGCACCCTAACCCCTGTGCTCTAACCCTATATCTCTGTTCCCCATGGCTGGCCTTTTTCTGTGGATGTTGAACAGTAGTACTGAGGAAAGAAAACAGGGAGAGGAATTTTACTTCAGTGTTCAAGAGAGCCCTCACATGGAGAAGAGAATGCTTCATCGCCGCTTGGAAATTTCCAGGAAAGTGAGAGAAGCCTGAGCCACGGGAAACATTGACTGTTTCTCCACCTCCAGGGCTGCATCCCCAGGCCCCAACCTGCTGCAGTGAAGGCAGGCAGGGCAAAAACAGGTCTGGGAGGTGACTTGTGACCTGAGGGGGCTGCCTTCTAGGACAGGCACTCAGCAGCAAGGCCAGAGTCAGTCTAGTTCAAGGCCTTCCTGCTTTTTATGTCATTTTATTTTTTTTGTTTTTGGTTCACACCCGGCGATGCACAGGAGTTACTCCTGGCTCATGCACTCAGGAATTACTCCTGGCGATGCTTGGAGAACCATATGGGATGCTGGGAATCAAACCTGGGCTGGCCGCGTGCAAGGCAAACGCTCTACCTGCTGTGCTATTGCTCCAGCACCAAGGCCTTCCTGCTTTGATCTGTGGACACGAGAGCCTGAGTAGCTTTGGAAATGTTCTTTTCAACAGCATTGAATTTAGAGTTATTTTTTTTAGGGGTGTGTGAATGTTGAGGGGATACCATTGGCTGTGTGCCCAGGGGTTACTCCCACTCCCAGTAGTTGGGAGACCGTTAAAGACCAGATGTGATGCCAGGGATTAAATCAGAGTCAGCTTCAGGCAAGGCAAACAGATGCTTTACCCCTCTGCTCAGGGGTTACTCCTGGCTCTGTGCTCCGGGATCACTCCTGGCAAGGCTCAGGAGACTATATGGAGTGCTGGGAATTGAACCAGGGCTTCTGCATGCAAAGCAAGTGCCTTGCCTGCTGTGTTAAGGCTCCCGCCCTCAATAGAGCTTCTTGGGGGCAGTTTAGACAAAGCCACTGCTGCCCCGATTTCTTTCCATGTCTGGCCATCTGGGGTCAAGGTTAAAGTCTGGGGAATGGAGCAATACGACCGTGGGTAGTGGCCGACCCAGGTTTGATCCCTGGCACCCCAGATGGCCCCCTGAGCACTGCCATGAGTGATTCCTGAGTGCAGAGCCAGGAGTAACCCTTGAGCATCTCCAGGTGTGGCCCCAAAAGCAAACAGATGTTGGTGTTGGACAAGCTTGGCTCCAGATGCTGGCCCTGCCTCTGTCTCCCCCTCCCCTGGATCTGGGGTCATACCCTCTGGTCCTCATCTGTGAAATGGGGAGAACAGCCCTCTCTCTCAGGGCACTTGGGAAACTAAATCGAACGTTATCGTAGGAGCCAAGGAGATGGCTTGAAGGGCTGAAATGCATGTGGCATGGTTCAGCCCATCAGCTCTGCATGCTGCAGGCCTGGGTTCGAGTCCCAACTCTACATGGCTCCCGAGCACTGAGCCAGGTGTAACCCCTCAGCTTGGCTGGGTCTGGCCCAGAAACCCAAACAAACAAAACTCCCATTGTAAAGCTTGGTGCCTGGCTCACATATGTGCTCTATAAATAGTCACACTTTTCTTAGCCCGTTTTCCAGCTAAGAAGCAGATGGTCTGATAAGCAGCAATCCGGGCCTGGGGTGCATATCTGGCATTGTGTCCGTCACACGGCATAGCGGCGCACCCTCCCCCCTCCTGCCAGGGCTTAGCCATCACTCTTCCCTCCTCCCCTTTCGCGGGTGCAAACAGAACTTCCCCCTCTTCTCAGTTTTCCTTCAACCACTTGTCCTTTATTAGCAGGTCAGAGAGCGTTGCCCAGCGGGCCAGGCTCTAGTCCCCTTCCCTGCAGCCAGGCCGTCCTCCCCTGGGCGTGCGCAACGCCAAGGACACACTCACACCCTCGTGTGTACTGCCGCAGATATGTCTCTCAGCCCCCAACGGTTTCCATCTTGGGGAAAATTCACAGGCAGAGCCAGCCCCGAGCAAGGGACTGCTGCCTTGGTCAGAAAGTCATGAGGGCTGAACCCCCATTTCCACCATCAGCCTCTGCCACGTTCTCAGCTCACTTGTGGTCCATGAGTTCAGAGGTTCAAGCAACCAGCTAGGGGGCCAGGATGCTCAGGGCCTGGCGGTGTGCCTTCTCCCCAGGCGCCTGGTTCTGCCATCCACAGGCCTCTGCTGCCGCTGGTCCTGCCCTCGGTCCCCTTCCTAAAAGCGGGGTCGCCCTGGACTTCTGCGCCTGAGGCCCCGCTGGTGGCCAGGTCCAGGCTGAGGGTCCTCCCGCAGACTGAAAGCCGCCGCAGCACCTCGGACGCGGCCTCCACGGGCACACTGGGCCGCTCCAGCAGCAGTTCCAAGAGCGAGCTCATCTCCGACAGGAAGGTGCTGGCCAGCCGCGTGCCGGCCGCGCTCAGTTCTGGCCCTGCCGCCTTGCCGAACGTCTGGAAGGTTCTGGGCTCCTCGGAGGCCGCCGCATCGGCCGAGCACACGTTGTCCCGGTAGTTGGTGGCCAGGGGTAAGGAGAGCCTGGCCATCCACGCCGGGTCAGGCGTGCTGAGCCGGTCCAGGGAAAGGCCTGTGGGGGGCAGTCAGCGGCAGTCCCGGGCAAGGGTACAGGACAAAGGAAGGAAGGGACATGGCAGGGGACGACGGACGGGGCTGCTGTGGGGGGGACGGGAAGGAAGAGGCCCTGACGGGGAAGTGGCTGGGCAGGAAGGCCCAGCGGGAGCTCGCACGGGAGCTGAGAGGACCGGAGGCCGGAGGGACGAGGAAGGCCCAGTCCAGACATTGGCCTGATTCTGGGGAATGTCCGGCCCGTGGAGTGTTTGTGTGTGTTCCGGGGTAGAAAGGGGGGACTTCCTGTCTGCAGGCCCCTGTGGGCCTGCTAAAGGTTTGCACCGTCACCCAGCAGCCTTGTGCCTCAGGAAGCCCAGCCGGACAGCAGGCTGGGGAGGGCTGCCCAGTCTAATGCCGTGGCAGAAAAGGGTCGTGAGATACCTGACACCGTAGCACCCCGCTGCTTCCCTCCGAACCCTGACCAGGGCCCATTGACAAAAGAGGGACTGGGGGGACAGACTATAAGCCTCGTGGCTCAGGAATAGTCTTTCTGTTTTGAAAGAAAGGCTGGGATGGGGTCCAACATCTACTCTGACATCTATTGGCCGTTTGTGTAAGAAATGCTGCTTCTCTGCCAAAGTCCAGAGGAGCCATGGATGATGTGGATGTGGATGGCTAAGACCATCCCCAGGCTGAGGCAAGTCATTCTTTTTTATTTTCTTTTTGGGTCACACCCGGCAATGCACAGGGATTACTCCTGGCTCTGCACTCAGGAATCACTCCTTGCAGTGCTCGGGGGTCCATTTGGGATGCTGGGAAACGAACCTGGGTCAGCTGCGTGCAAGGCAAATGCCCAACCACTGTGCTGTCACTCCAGCCCCAAGGCTAATCATTCTTATCTGTTCTACTACATTATCCAAAGAGCACTCTTGTGACTTGAAAAATTTATTCCAAAATAGAGCAAATCATGGTGTATCTGAATATTGATTCTCCACCTTGCCTCATTTGTAGTAGGATTGGGGGGCCTGAGGTGGAGTGGGGCTCTTGGCAGCTGGACATGGTCCACTGAACATAAACACAAATTCTGATATTTAGGTGTTACTGAGCCACATCCACAGTTTTCAGAGGCTTCTTGGGACTCTGTGCTCTGGGGTCATTGTGGCAGTGCCTGAGGACCATCTGCAGTGCTGAGCACATGCAAGACAAGTGACTTCTTTTGTATTAGACCCCCGTCCCCCAATTGTTTTATATTTAATGTCCTCATTTTATTATGTAATTGATAATCTTAAGAATTATTGGGATGTCTTATATTTTGGGTGGGGGCATTGATTTGGGTCACACCTTGCTCTGTGCTCAGAGTTCACTCTTGGTAGTTCACAGGGGACTACATGGGATGCCAGGGATCAAACCTGGATTGGCACATGCAAGGCAAGCGCTCTCCTTGCTGTACTATCTCTTCAGCCCTGTTGAGGTATCTTGCATTTGTTTGCCATACTCTTTTCAAAACCGAGAGTGCATTTTATACTCCCAGCACATCTCTTTTGTTGTTGTTGTTTTAGTCTTTGGGCCACACTTGGCAATGCTCAGGGGTTCCTCCTGGCTCTACACTCAGGAATTACTCCTGGAAGTGCTCAGGGGACCATATGGGATGCTGGGGATCCAACCAGAGTTGGCCACATGCAAGGGAAATGCTCTATCCTTGTACAATCTCTTTGGGCCCCTCAAGGCACCTCTGGATGAGGACGGCTGCTTCCCCGTGGCTGGACTGGCCTCACTCATCCTCTGACACTCAGGGCGGTGATGTCCTATGACCTTTCTCTATGTTGTGACCAAAGTTGTAGCCACAAGGTTGCTGGGCTTATCCTGAGCCTTTGAAATGGCTCTGGCAGGTTGAAGGATTAAAAAAAATTATTTTACTTCATTTTAATTCAATTTAACTTGACTTAATTTTAACCTAGGGCCAACGGTGCTGGTAATAATTACCACTGGCCAGACAACCTGGAAAAATTATTAAACATCCCTGCCCCTCGGATTTTCCCTTTATGAAAGGGGATAATGAATAGCCGAATCTCATAGGATTTTCTCACAAGGCACTTAGAACATGGTGGAAACTGCAGAAAGGGCTCAATAAATGTGAGCTATTTTTTTTAATTGAACAGAGGAACATCCTGGCCATGCCCTTGGCATATTAGGGGCACACAGGGTATGTTCAGGCAAGAAAGAGCCTTTGTCTACAAAAACAGAAAAGATCAGTGGACCCACCTGGCACAAGGTAAACCCTCGGCATATTGGTGTGTGTGAGTGACTTTAGGAGACTGGCTGGGCTTCACAGCCAGGCCAGGGGTGGGGGTGGGGGGGGGTGCAGCTAGCTGGTTCCTGAATTAAAGTTCATATGATTCATTTACAGCATTAATTGTTTCTCAAGATAAAAGGAATGCTGAATGTTTGGATTAGAAATGGTAGCCCATTAAAAGTTGTTGCAGTTCCCAGGACAGAAGGATATTTAAACAAATTTTAAAGAAGCAAGTGAGTGTTTTAGGGGGCCCAGAGGTCTTCCACACTCTGACCCTGGAGCTCCCTCCATCACTGATAAACCCACGACTTGGGGTTGCCTACTGACCTCCCTGGGCCTCAGGGTTTGTTTATTACTAACTTGAACCCTAATATTTACCTGCATAGGCAGCTTGAAGACTTACACAACTTACTGTGTCTAAAAGGCTTCTCCAATGTCTGGGGCACACAGGAACTCAGTTGTGGTTCATTATTCTTAGGATGGTCTTAAAAATCCACCAAATAGATGAATAAGCACTAGTAGATGATTAAGAGGGGCTGGAGTAATAGCACAGTGGGTAGGGTGCTTGCCTTGCATGTTCGATTCTCAGCATCCCATATGGTCCCCTGAGCACTGCCAGGAGTAATTCCTGAGTGCAGAGCCAGAAGTAACCCCTGTGCATTGCCGGGTGTGACCCAAAAAGCAAAAAAAAAAAAAAAAAAAAGGATGATTAAGAGACTGGGTGGGGCTAGTTCCAGAGGAAGGAAAATGTTGCTGAAAATCCTCCCGGGAAGCTGAGTGACTGAGAGGCCTGGAGCAGAACTCTGAAAGGGGATGCAGTGGCAGGTGGGGGCAGGGACACCCAGGGGAGTCCCTACCTGTGTGGGGGTCCAGCAGGCTCGAGAGCTCTTCTTCCAGCAGCTGCTTCACAGAGAGGTCCTCTTCAGGGTCCAAGGACCCTTCCTCGTGGTCAGCCTCTGCCTGGCCCCCAGCCCTGGGGCCCGGACTGTCGGTTTCTGGGCCTGCGCTCCTGAAAGGGAAGCCGCTTGTCTGTGCGTGGACAGTGGGCAGACGTGTTCTTCCCTGTCCCCGACGTTGCTTTGCACCCCAGCCACTTCTCTCGTACAGGCACCTGGATCCTGAGCCCGGCCCAGCTTCCGGGACTCCAGGCCTTCCCCCTACTCTGAGCTTGTTTCCTCCTCTGTAACATGAGCGTCGTAAACGACACCTTCTTGTGGGATATTACAGTATAAAATGAGACAAAGGGCTTAGAACAGTGCCTGGCACATGGTAAACCCTCGGCATATTGAAGCAACCGTAGTGCTTCGATAGGATTTTCCACTTTGTCTTTCCCTTTCCTTCCCATTGCCTGACACAGACTAGGAATTTAGGAAACTTGGCTAAAACAGAGTGATCCACCCATCCATCTCTCCTGTCCACCTGCTCAGCAACCTCTCTCTCTTCCTCCTTGTCCCCTTCTCTCCATCCGTATACCCACCTTCTCCCCATCCATCCACTCATCCACTTGCACATCCAGCCAACACCCGTTCCACTTCCCATCCATTCACTCATTCATCCACCAACCATCCATCCACCCACTTAACTCACTCACCACCCACTCATAGACCCACGCACCCATCCATCCACCCATCCACCCACTCACCCATCCACCCACTCACCCACTCACCCATCCATGCATCCACTCACCCATTCACTCCCCAACCACACATTTCATTTATCCGCCAACCAACCATCCAAATTTGAGCTCCAGGAAAAGCAGGTACCTTTTTGGGAGGGCCCTGTCTCATTTATGCTCTCTATAAGAGCTCAGAAACAGGGCTTGTCACAGCAGAGGTGCTTAGTAAAAGCTTAGCGGAAGGAGGAATATTCCCTTCTCCCCTCGTTGAAGCCAAATCCCTGTCCAGAAGGGTGTCTACAGAGGATCCAGCTACTCAGAACCTCCTTCCTGTCTCTCACTGGTTCTAGCCTTCCTAGCCCCTGATATGTGGGTTTCTGGGGCTCAGTCCTCTCATCTCAACAGCTAGAAATGCTGCCTAGGGCACTTTAAGGCTTGGGCTCCTTTCTGCTGTTTTCTATTTCTGTTTCCACTGATGGGATTCGCAGGGAAGGGGCAAGTTTGCAAATGGCAGCAAATGGATGTTTATTGAACAGTTGCTCTGCCCCAGGCCTCATGCTCTGCAGGAGCATACAACTCCTCCCACCAAATATGTCACATCTGTCTAGGGTCATTCCACCTCTCCAGCACAGGTGAGAAAATTAAGACTTGTGAGGAATAAATACTCAGCTCCTCCGGGTCCCTGTGGATTTTGTGATAAAGCTGAATTCAAAGCCAGGCTCACTGGACTCTGGAGACTGTATCCCCGTGGCAGCTTTAGATCCCTTCCCATCAGCTTTGCAAAAAAAAAAAAAGAAGAAGAAGCTATAAGCCAGTCTCATCAGAGCACTGAACTGGGAGTCAGGGGCCCTGAGAACAGGGTCCCTGCTTTGCTACCTACTGGCTGTGCCACCCTGATCAAAGTCACTGATGGGGAAGGAACTTAGTGTTGGTGGGGAAGGAGGTGTCAGACATTGGGTTATGGGTTTAAATCTTTATCCCATCACCACTGGAGAGTAAAACCTTTGTTTCATCAGTTAGGAACCGATACCCTAAGGGATGATCTGATGCCTTCTCTTGGACAGAGCTGGGTTGGGTCAAACTATTTTGACCCAGAGCTGGGGCAGGCTGGTGAGAAGCCTGAAAGATTTGTGTTCTTTGCAGTCAGCGGGCTCAGGTTCAATCTGCCTGGTGTCCTGAGTACCACAAGAGTAGTCCCAGAGCACCGTGGGCTGCTCCCCCATCCCGGGGGGGGGGAGAGAGCCAAAAATCAACTTCAGAGCCTAAGTTGGGGCAGGAGTTAGAGCAGCTGTCCTCTTGAGAACCCTTTGATTTGAGACAGACCACAGGAACATGCCACCTGCTCGCCCACACCCCCTCACCCCCCAGCCTCCATCCTGTGCTAGGGGCCAAGAGCCGGGAAAGAAGCCCAAGATCCCAGATTTAAAGTCCATAGCTCAGCACCTCTGCCATCGGTGGGCAGAAGGTACCTTAGGGATGAAGTCATTTCCTCGGTGACTCCAGGCCCTGTAAATACTATAAATGCAGTATTTATAGTTCTTGCTCCAGGATCAAGCTGTCTGGAGGGAGGATACTGGCCACAACCTGCTCCAGGGGGAAAACGCGTGTGGCCCCATCCTCACGTGAGCAGAGTGCTGGCCAGAGCACCGCGTGCTTACCTGCAGCCTGGCTTGGCTGAGTATTTATTTCCCCGGTGGTTGGGCTTGGGCTGGAATTGTCCCTGGTGCAGCAAGGACAGCAGCTGGGAGATTTGCTACAAGACAGGAAAAATCTGTTGACTCCACACAATTCCGACCCTGCACACTTCCTCGCCCGGATGTTTCCCTCAGCGCCATCGCTGGCTTTTTATAGCCTTTCCTCCGCCTTCAGATGTTTGTGTGACCAGCGGGGGATGGGAACAAAGGCCCGGACCTGTACAGTCAGGTTCCCCCCACTCCCTTCCACACCCCCACCATGACCTGAAAACCCCACGACCCTGGGTGTTTGAGGGAGAGAAGGATAGGACCCTTTGCAACCATGTCCTCCCTCCCATTTCTCCCGAGTGACCCGCTTTGGGGAGCGTCTGTGGCTGGAGGTGAAAGGACATTTCCTGGCCATAATTTAATTCTTACTTGGATAAGGATTGTTTTAAGGGTTATTTCCTCCGCGGCCACAGTATTTACTGAGCCAATTTTTCAGTGGGTCAGATGTAAACTAAGTCGTAGGAGAGGGCAAAAATGGTGTCTCTAACCATCCGTTCATTCATTCGACGGGAAAGAGAACACCCCAGGAGGAAGTGGAGGTGGCACAAGGGGAGATTTATCAATCTCAGAGCCTGCTCCTTGGAGTTGGGGAGAGAGCCTCCCTGTCTGAGTCTCTGCAGGCACAAGTCCCAAGCACTGCTATGAGTGACCCAAGCATGTGTCTGGGAATAGTTTTCACACTGTGAGGAACTGTAAGACAGCAAAACAAAATCCCTGGTTCTTGAGTTCCTCTAACATGTCAGGGGCCCTCTGCTGACACTCAAAGTTTCCGCAGAAGTTTGGTAAGTGGAGAGAAGGTGAGGGTTTGGGCAAGGGGTGAAGGACTTCAGACACAATAGGCTAAAGAGGAGATGGTGGGGCTTCTGGAATGGACAAGACCAAGTGTGAGGATCGAGTTCTAGTTCAAGACCATTTCTCTTTTATCTCATAGACAAATGAGCAGGGTTTTTGTTTGATTTTTGTTTGGTGGCCTCTCAGTGTGCTCAGGACTTACTCCTGGCTCTGTGTTCAAGGACCACTACTGGCAAGACTTGGGGGACCCTATGGGATGCCAGGAATCGAACCTGGGTCGGTCACATGCAAGGCCAGCGTCCTCCCCACTGTACTCTCACTCCGGGCGCCTTGAGGATTACTTCAGGTATCCTAGCTTCAGTTTTTTCAATAGTCAAGAAGAGATAATGCAAAAGCGTATAAGTCATGGGCTTATAGATCTAGTGATCAGCACCTGCTATCACGTGCTGTAGACTCTCATTGTGCCCCCTGAGGCTCGAGGCTCACGGGACTGCATGGTGTTAGGGGCAACACTGGTCCTCTCCACTGGGGGTGGGAATGCTGACCGCTCTAGGCAATTCTCAAAAATTTAGGAGTCACTCTCTCATATGGTCCAGCAATTCCACTTCTTGGCATTACCTCCAGGGCCCCAAACTCTTCAGAAAAGACATTTATTTGCATTCCTATGTTCATTGCAGCACTGGTCACAATAGGCAAAATTGGGAAACAATGCAAGTGCCCAAGGACAGACGAGTGAATGAAGAAACTGTGGTACATACACACACGGCAAGACCAGTCAGTCACAAGAAAAGATGAAATCATGCAATTTGCAGCTACATGGATGGATCTGGAGAGTATCATGCTAAGTGAAGTGGTCAGAAGTTACAGTGATCTCTCCTACACGGTCTACAGAGAAACATAGCACTGCACTGTAGCACTGTCCTCCTGTTGTTCATCGATGGGCTTGAGCGGGCCCAGTAACATCTCCGTCGTGAGACTTGTTGTTACTGTGTTTGGCGTATTAAATACAGAGAAATATAGTAAAGGGAAAACAAATACTCAAACAGAGATTGAGACCTGGTCTTTAGTAAGAAGCAGATCACAGTAGGGGACTGATGCGAGTGGGAGTGGGACCGTGGCACAGTGGTGGAGGGAAGCTGACCCTCTACTGTAGGGGACGGTGCTGGAATATTTTAGGCATGAAACCCTGTCATAATCCATGTTGTAAATCATGGTGCCTAAAATAAAATTTAAAAAAAGGGAATCATAGTACACCCTGCCTGTGGCTGATTGGGTTTGTTCCCCAGCACCAGTATGGTCCCCCATGCCCCACCAGGAGTGATCCCTGAGCACAGAGCCAGGAGTAAGTCATGAACAATGCCACGTGTGCTTCTGACCCCTGGAAAGGAAGAAAGAGAGAAAGAAAGAAAGAAAGAAAGAAAGAAAGAGAGAAAGAAGGAAAGGAAGAAAGGAAAGGAAGGAGGGGAGGAAGGAAAGAAGGAAGGAAGGGAGGAAAGGAGGAAAGAAAGAATGAAAGAATGAAAGGAAGGAAAAAAGAAGGAAGGGAGGAAAGGAGAAAGAAATAAAGACGGAAAGGAGGGAAGAAAGAAAGAAAGAAAGAAAGAAAGAAAGGAAAGAAAGTAAGCGAGAAAGAAAGAAAGAAAGAAAGGAGAGAAGGAAGGAAGGGAGGAAAGAAGAAAGAAATAAAGAAGGAAAGGAGGAAAGAAAGAAAAGAAAGAGGAAAGAAAGTAAGAGAGAAAGAAAGGAGGAAAGAAAGAAAGAATGAAAGAATGAAAGGAAGGAAAAAAGAAGGAAGGGAGGGAAGGAAAAAAGAAGGAAGGGAGGAAAGAAAGAAAGAAAGAAAGAAAGGAAAGAAAGTAAGCGAGAAAGAAAGAAAGAAAGGAGAGAAGGAAGGAAGGGAGGAAAGAAGAAAGAAATAAAGAAGGAAAGGAGGAAAGAAAGAAAAGAAAGAGGAAAGAAAGTAAGAGAGAAAGAAAGGAGGAAAGAAAGAAAGAATGAAAGAAAGAGGAAAGAAAAGAGAGAAAGAAAGACGGAGAAAAAGAAAGACAAAAAAGAAGCAGAGCTGAACTGCTCGGTCTGAGTCTCACTGCTGTGAGCAAGTTGATCCCAGAGGGGCACCGTCTTTCCAGCACTTCTGTGGGTGCCACAGTGCCTGCTCCTACAATCGCTGTTCATCAGTAACCAGTATAGCACTTGGTATAGAGAACTTATTCAATAAGGACTTGATGAGTAGGTGAATGAATGGATGAAAGGATGACAGATGGAAGGGTGGGTGGGTGGATGGATGGAGCCGGGTAACTTCTGGGGCCCAGAATACATTGAGCTTAGGGTAAAATTCCTAAGAGAGCAGCTGAACCCTCTCCAGGTGGCTTCCTGGAGGGCTGTGGGAAGGAAGTGTGTCCTGCTCTACAGGAAACCTCAGCTGGCGGCCTGACCAAACAGAGGTGGCCTGGGGCACGCAGTCTGGCCCAGAGAAAATGGTCTGGGTTTCAGAGACGCAGGTGGGTGTGGGACTGGCCCCCGTCTCTGAAAAGAATTCCTACTGGTGTCTAGTAAATGCTGTGTCACTGGTCACTTTGTCATTCTTCATCCCATTTGACCTCGTTTGATCCCCAGTCCCCTGGGAAGCAGACGGACATGGGGTACATTTGGCATCAAATTTGTCTTTTTTATTTTTTCTTTTTGGGTCATACGGGGTGATGCTCAGAGGTTACTCCTGACTCTGCACTCAGGAATTACTTTTGGCGGTGCTCAGGGGTCTATATGGGATGCTGGGAATCGAACCCCTTGCATGGATCAGCCACGTGCAAGGCAAATGCCCTACCTGCTGTACTCTCACTCCAGCCCCTCAGACCCATCTTTTCTAGATGAGGAAAAATGAGGCACAGAGGTTCAAAGGATTTGCCCTGCTTCTAAGAGGCTGTACTGGAATTTGAACCCAGATCTGCCAGACTCCCAAGCTAATATATTGTTTTATTTCTTCATCCTGGGGAAGCCCCAACTGTCAAGCCCCAGGTATCACTCAAGTCACACGCACCCTCTGGTCTGCGGTAATGATGCTCGTGTCCCTTCGCTTCTCGGTGCCTGGGATGGGGGGAGGGGGGTGGGGCTGGAGAAGTGCTTGGCAGAAGTGCCAGTAATCGCTTGGTGAGTGCTAAGTGCCAGACTATTCTAGAAGCTCTAAGTGTACTTACTGTCTCTTCCAGCAAGCATAGGAAATGGGTCTGGTTCCCACGGACCTCTTCAGCAGAGCACTGAGTAACGACCCTATGCCTCCCAGCTATGAAGAGGTGGGGCCGGGATTTGAACCCAGCCAGCCTGGATCCAAAGCTTGCTCTTAATTACTTTAATATGTCTCCTTGCGCCAAACTGCCCGAGTAAGTGCAAAATAGGATTGAACCGCTCAGATCCTCAGAATATGTCTGCCAAGGCAGATGCTCTGGCCAGCAGCCCTGTTTCACAGAAGGAGCTGCTGGGACACAGAGACCGCAAGTAATTTCCCCAGGATCACACAGCTAACTGTGTTGAGCTCGAGCTGTGTCCCAACATCACGACAGTGAACTTACATCGTGAGCATAACAGCGGCATCTGAGGCTACTGGCAATGGCCCAGGGTGACCAGAGAGACAGCTCCCCTCCCGCCCTGGGCCCAGGTACCTGGACAGGAGGGGACTCCACGGTCAGCTCATCCATGGGGTTCTTCTCTGCAAAGGCGGCCACGGACAGCCGGACGAGGCTCCGTAGGATCTGCCGAGGTCCCGACTCCTTTTCGGGGGCCACTCTGCCGTGGAGATTCCTCTGCCGCCTCAGGGTGGCTGAGGAGGGAGATGAGCTTGGCAGGGCCTGGGGGCCGCTCGGGGTTCCAGGCGGCCTCTGGGGGGCGCTGCCTGCCACCCTTGGGGACTTGGAGCCAGGCTGGCCTGTGACCGGCGGGGGCTCGGGCAGCGTCAAGTTCTCCCTGGAGGCGTTTCTCTGCCGGGGGTGGTTGAAGAAGAGGTTGACGGTGTCTGGCAGCTCCTGCCGGCTCTCAGCCAGTGCTCCCTGGTTGCCTTGGTTACGCAGGGTGCGGTACAGGGTGGGCGTGAGGGGGTAGGGGGCCGGCAAGGCGGGGTCCCAGCCTGCTTCTGCCATCACCTCCTTGCCCACGTCCTTGGGGGGCAGCCCACCGCCCTCCGGCTCCTCCGCCTGACCCCGAAGCACGGGCACCAGGTGGATGTCCGTTTTCTGGATGTGTTTCTGGGGTCTCTTGGGCTGCTGGCGGTAGGTCGACTCGGCTTCCCGGCAGTTGTAGGCCCGATTATCCTTCTTCTCGCTCTGGCGCCTGGACACGATGAGCGCCAAGGTCAGCCCGAAGACAGCCAGCAGAACCAGCAGGCAGATGGCCGTCAGCACCGAGGGGCTCAGAGCCCCCGTGTCCTGGGCTGAGTCCCTCAGGTGGTCCACACTGCTGACGAACGAGACGCTCAGCAGGGCTCGGCTCTGCAGGGAGGGGGTGCCCTGGTCTTCCACCACGATGTCCAGCTCCCACTCGCTCCCCAGGAGGCCGCTGGCATTGGTGATGTTGACGGACAGCTGCCCCAAGTGCGGGCTGAGCGCAAAGAGCTGACCTTCGTTCCCGCCACGGATGCTGTAGACCAGCTCAGCATTGGGCCCCGAGTCTGCATCCCGGGCTATGATTGTCACCAGCGGGAAAGGCCGGGAGCTGGGGGTGGCCAGGGCCGGTGTCTCTGCACCCCCGGGGCTCCGGCCACTGGGGATCTCGACGGGCACCAGGAGGTGGCCAGTGGAGGCGTTGACCAGCACGGACAGGCTGGCTCTCCCGTTGCTGAGCAGGGGCTGGATCACCTCCGGGGCGTTATCGTTGGCATCCAGCAGGCTGACCCACACAGAGACGCTGGATGCCAGTGGGGGCTGTCCCCTGTCTTCCGCCATCACCCGGAACTCAAAGCCTGTCATCTGCTCGTAGTCCCAGGACCTCTGAGCCGTCACCTCACCCGTGACCGAGTCGATAGCCACCCAGCGAGAGACCGGGGACTCCTCGAGGCAGTAGGAGACTTGGCCATTGGCCCCCAGGTCTGCGTCGTGCGCCCTGACGGTGAGCAGGTGCAGCGACGGGGGGTTGTTCTCCCGCGTGGAAACCTCGTAGTGGCTCTGCTCGAACACAGGTGCATTGTCGTTGGTGTCAGCTATCTGGATGTGCAGCTGCGTCTCGGCCCCTAAGGGCCGGGTTCCCTGGTCCTGGGCCAGCACCGCCAGGGTGTACGAGGGCCACTGCTCCCGGTCCAGCGTAGCGTTGGTGAGCAGCATGTATGTGTTGCCATTGGTCCTCTTCAGCCGGAAGTGGCCCAGTGTCTGGCTCAGCCAACAATGCACCCGCCCGTTATTTCCTGAGTCGGGGTCATTCGCTGTAACGAGTGCCACGAAACTGTCCTTGGGCAGCGCTTCGGACACCAGCGCCGGCTGGGATGCCCACGTGATGTGGATGCTTGGGGCATTGTCGTTGACGTCCAGCACTTTAATGAGAATCTTGCAGTGGGCTGGGATGGGGTTGGGACCCAGATCCCTGGCCTGGACGTCCACCTCGTAAGCGGGGATCCTCTCGTAGTCCAGGGGCCGCCGCAGAAGCACCTGCCCTGTCTTCGCATCGATGCTGAAGGTGTCGGTCACCTCAGGGGGCACATGTCTACTCAGGAAGAACTCCACCTCCCCGTTGGGGCCCTGGTCAGGGTCCGTGGCGGTCAGGTTCAGGAGGAGAGTCCCGGGGGCAGCGTCTTCCTGGATCTCCAGCGCCAGCGAGCTCTCTGCAAACACCGGGCTGTTGTCGTTGGAGTCCAAGACGTTAACCTTGACCAAGGTGGTGCCGGACTTGGGGGGGTCCCCATTGTCATAGGCAGTCAAGACCAGATGGAAGGAGGAGTGGAGTTCCCGGTCCAGCTCCTTCACCACCACTAGCTCTGCGTGTTTGGTCTCATCAGGGCCCACGATGACATCCAGGGTAAAGTGCTCGCTGGGAGACAGCGTGTAGGTGTGCAGGGTGTTGGAGCCCGTGTCGGGGTCCAGGGCCCTGTCCAGGGGTATCCGGGTGTGCACCGAGGCACTCTCAGAGATCTCCAGCTCCTGCTCACCTTTGGGAAACCGAGGCTCGTGGTCATTGATGTCCAGCACCTGGATCTCCACGTGGAGCAGAGCCAGGTCACCCGTGGCCAGCACGTCGAAAGCCAGCAGGCAGGGCTCACGCTGCCGGCACAGCTGCTCGCGGTCCAGCCGCCTGGCTGTGCTCAGCAGCCCGTCCGCGGGGTCTACCTGCACGGGTAGCTCCCGAGGCAGCCGGAGGAGCTGGAAAGGGCCCCCTGCAGGCCCACTGCTCCCGGCCCGGCCCCCGGCCTGCGAGAGCATCCCGATCACCGTCCCAGATGGCACCTCCTCGGATACCTGGTACGTCACCGTGACAGCGGCCACCTCCTGGCCGTCTCCTGGTGGGAACAAGTATCCGGAGGATGCCCAGAGCCCCAGCAAAAGTGACAGAAGCCGCACCATGCTTACCAGCAAACGGGCGCAAGGCACAAGCCGCCGGGTCGTCAGAGGCCAGGCAAGTCCTCCTGGGTCTTCCGGGGATGCTGCAATTGGCCCATCTGCCTGGCCCCAGACCTGCTGGTACAGCCCCGTCCTAGAGCTAGCCGGTGATGGAGGGGCCAGGCTTCCCAGCCATCCTCATCTGGAGAGACCTCCGAGGGCCAAGTCCTGGGGAGGCCCGGGAGAGGCTGAAGGTCCACCGGAGCGAAGGATGGAGGGAGCCAGTGGCGGCCACACGGCCAGAGGAGCAGGATGTGAGGGTCTGGCTTCACACAGCCGCTGGGCTGGGGAAACAGAGAAGCAGCTTTTTCCTATGGAAACCCCACCTACAGGAAAAGGGAGGGCTGGGAGTTTCAATGCCAATTAGAGAAAGAGCGTTTCCGTGAAGGGGTCTCCCGGCTGAGGAGGATGCAGCCGGATATGGAGGTGCTGTCCACCGCCAGTGAGGGGAGCCGGAGCTGGCCCTGCTCCCCGCCTAGTCCTGCTCTCCGCCCAGCCCTGCTCCCCTCCCCCTGCCCGTCTTCCTTCTCCCTGCACGAAGAGTCTTGCTGCGGCCTGTCCCCTCCGCTGTGACCCATAGGGAGCAGCGGTGATTCAGAGAGTGGCCCCAGAGCCCAGTGGCCCTTCCCTGTGCTGGCCGAGGGGGCCCAGTCTCGGCCTCTCAGTGCCTCAATCCCCGCAGGGGAAGAACAGCAGCAGGAAGTGGCAAGGATGCCCTGGGATGATGCAGGCAGACCTGTCATGATGACAGCGGTGACTGGCTGCAGGGTGAGAGTGGGACCTCGCCTGGGTCAGCGCTGGCTCCCACCAGCTCAAGCCTCAGCCTCAGCCCCAGAGGGCCAGGAGCCTCCCTGTCAGCTGCCAGTGGCTCCCCTCCCCCCTTCCTGCTCCCCCGTGTCCCCCAGCCCCCCAGGTCCATTGTTCTCCACATCTGGGCCAGTCTTAGTCTGGGGGAATCCCCCGGCCTCCCACTCTGTCCCTGAGGCTTTCACCCTTTCCTCCCCCTCGGCCTCCCTTCCTCCAATTCTTCTCTCCCCACTGCCCTTCATGTCGGAGTCCCTGGAACAATAACGTCCTCGCTGCCCTCACAGACAGACAGACAAACAGACTGACAGACAGATACACACACTCATACACACTCACACACACTAACACGCACATACCCACCCACTCACACACACACACGCATACTCACTTACACATGCACACACATTCACACACGCAAATGCTCCCCCCCCCCACCACACACACCCACACACACCCCTTTGAGGCTGAAGGTCTGCCCTCACCTCCTTTCACCTCGCAGAGGGCCAGGTGAGCACCTCCCTAGCCTTTTGTCAAGTTCTGAAGTGGTGGGTCAAGGCTGGTTCCCCTGTTTGAAGCTGAGTTCTTGGGGGGGGGGAGGAGCCTGGGGGGGGGGTGAGGAGGAGGAGGTGTCAGCCTGACACAGTGGCCCCGTGAGGGTCTGTTGACCTCTGGTGTTTTCAGCTGTGCTCGCTGCGTGGGACAGCTTCCCTGTTATTCTCGCCGCTCCTGGTCCTTCTTTACAGTGTTCTCCTGGAGACTTCCCAGCGTCTTTCTGAAGCTGTCAGCTGGGGGGCCTGGCTCTGAGGGGAGGCCTCCTGGGCCACAGGTCACTTGATCTCTCTGGCCTCGCACCCTTCCCTGACAAGTTTGGCTGCCACCCTTTGTGTGAGCTCAGGGAAAGGACTTGATGCGAGGACAGCCTGCAGGCTCAGCTCAACACTGGGTCCAGAGGGAGGTCAATCCACAGCCCAGCCTGTCACCGGGATCACTGGCCAGGGGCAAAATGGTCTTGCACTTGCCCCTCTTGCCTTTTTCTCTGCCTCCTGGGTCATTTCCCCAAAGGCTCCCTTAGTACAGGCTTGGACCAGGGGTGTCCTAAGCTTCTAGGGGGCCAGCAGAGACCCAGGCCTGGAGATCAGACACACACTCACTGCCTGGGTGCCTTCCACCTCCCGCCCCCTCCGTCTCACAGGCAGGGAGCAGGATAAGTGACATCGAGGGGGGCTTACAGTCAGGATGGGAGCAGAGGAAAGAAAGATGGGGACCAGAGCCACAGGGCAGAGAGGAGGGCGTCTTGCACCAGCCAATCTGGGTTTGATCCCCGGCATCCCATATGTTCCCCTAGCACTGCCAGGGTGATGCCTGAGAGCAGAACCAGGAGTAAGCCCTGAGCACAGACCGTATGGCTCAGAGAAGAGGAAAGGAGGGAAGGAAGAAAGGAAAGAGCAAGAAAGAGAGGGAGGGAGGGAGGGAGGAAGGAAGGAAGGAAGGAAGGAAGGAAGGAAGGAAGGAAGGAAGGAAGGGAAGGAAAGCGGGGGACTGTGGAGTGGCTCTGAAATCCGGGTGGGTGGGTGGGGGGAGACACAGAAGCCGCAGGCCGAGGGAGCAGGATGGCGCAGAGTTCAACAAGAGGCTGTGAGCAGCTGGGGTCCCAGGCTGAACCTAAGGCCAGGGCAGCCTTCAGCCTCAACTGCTTTCCCAGCTCCGCCCTGCGCACCGGCCTACCCACATCGGGGTGAAGCAGCTCAGGACCGAGGGCCCGCCCGCCTCTAGAAAGCCCCTTGGCTGCTCTCTGAAGACTGGAAGGAAGGGGACCTGAGGAGGGGCCCCTGGGGGTCCCGCTGGGCAGCGCCCGCTTGACACCGGCTCCAAGCGCCCGTACCGCGCCACCTGGTGGCCGAAGGCAGAGAGACAACTGGGGCGGCGCGGCCGGAGCAGGAACAATGTTAACCCAGGAAGGTGGCGCTGGTGGACCGATGCCCACAAGGAGGACCATGGACTTAGCGAATCCCCTGTGATAACTTCGTGATGAGAATGAGAATGAGGATAACTTCGTGATGAGGATGAGGATGAGAGACAGAGAGACAGAGAGACAGAGAGAGACAGAGATAGAGAGCCAGAGGGAGAAACAGAGAAACAGACAGAGAGACAGAGAAAGAGAGACACAAGAGACATAGACACAGAGACAGACAGAGACACACGGAGAGAAGACACAGAGATATAGAGCAGAGTAGGGGAAGAGTCTTACTTTACTGGCACCACAGATGCAAAAAAAAAAAAAAAACCAACCCAAATGCCAAACCCCTAACACTCAAAAACCTAAACTCAGGACAGTTTGGATTCCATGGGTGTTTGTTATTGTTGTTGCTTGTTTTATTAACATTCATGGGGACCCTTAAGCTAAGATAATCACCCAAGACTGTTGGCTGCTGTTTTGTGTTGTCAGGAACTGAACCCTGAGCCCCCAAAAGCAAGGCTCGACCACTGAGCTGTCTCCTCAGCCCCCAGGTTCTGAAGCCGGTAAAGAAGGCTCCGACTCTTTCCTTATGGAGTTATTCGTCTTGTGGCGCTGGGATAAACCAGGGTGCCACATCCATGTCTTGTGTGAGATACCTGACTTTTGAAAAAAAAAGTGCATCCGGGAAGAAGGAACCCATGAAGCCTTGTCCCCTCCCCTTTCATGCTGCAGTTTCGGGGACTTTAGGAGCCTGTTGTCCTTGGGAAATCACTGGCGCTGATTGGGAACGTTTTGGTTTCCCTGGGTTTGAAAATGGGGCTGACGCTCACCGTGCCCTCCCCCGAGGGTACCTCCTACTTACTCCTCCTGACTCTGCACTCAGGAATTACTGTTATCAGGGTTTGGGGACCAAATCCCAGTCAGCCTATGCAAGGCAAAGGCACCAAGCACTGTGCTATTACTCAGTCCTGCATCTTGTATCTTTTTAAGTAACTTTTATTCAATAAAAACTATCTTACTTCAAAAAAGAGGAAAGAAAAAAGAAAAGACAAGGAAAGGAAAGAAAGAAAAGGAAAGGAAAGAAAGAAAGAAGAAAATGAAATCGGGAAAAATGAGATTGTGGGTACCTGTAATTGGTTTGAGACAGCTGGGGACAGTCTCCCTCCCAACTTTATTTGTTGTTATTTGTTTATTTATTTTTGTTTTGGGGGTGACCCCCAGCAGTGTCCAGGACTTACTTCTGGTTCTGTGCTCAGGGATCACTCCTGCCCAGGCTCGTGGAGGGGAGCGCGGGGGGGGGGGGGGGAGGGGGGGAACCACATGCTGTGCTGGGGATCGGGGATCGAACTGGGGTTGGCAACATTTGTGCAACGTTTGACCTCCTGTACCATCTCTCCACCCCCCCCACAAAACGACGTTTTAGATGAGAGCAAGACTGGGGTGGGGCTTGGAAGTCTCCCCATCTGCCCTGGAGTTTCTCACACTGATACCGTTCTCCCTGATTTTGGGGGGGGTGGGTAGTGTTGCTGAGGTGGGTGTGTGGGAAAGACGGGGATTAGAAGAATTTTTATTTTATTTTAGCTTTTTGAGTAATACCCGGCGATGCACAGGGGTTACTCCTGGCTCTGCACTCAGGAATTACTCCTGGCAGTGCTAGGGGGACCATATGGGATGCCAGGGATCGAACCCGGGTCGATTGCGTACAAGGCAAATGCCCTACTGGCTGTGCTATCACTCTAGCCCCTAGAGGAATTTTTAAATACCCAGAATTGTGAAGTGGTCAAATGAGCAGAGGGAGACTTTGACACTTTTGACAGACTCTCAGGCAGCTGTGTGGAGACTAAGGTGCCAACCCACACCCACAATGTCCTGCTGGGCTGTCTGTCCTTCCCTGAGGAGCCACCTGGGTTTGTTCTCCCGCCGGGCTGCCTGGCTGAGGCTGGGAAGCTTCCTCAGGATCTTGCCCACTGGGCAGATGACTGGACCCCAGCCAGCATCCAACAGCGCTGGCATCATGGCCAGTCTGGCCAGGTTTACTTTCCCTTAACCCCATATGTTTGTTCATTTCTTGTTGTTGGGCCACACCTGGCGATGCACAGGGCTTACTCCTACCTTTACTCTGAAGGGTCACTTCTGGTATGGCTGGGGCGACCATGTGTGTTGCCTGGGATTGAACCCGCATGGGCAGGCTGCAAGGCTA